GACGGTTTTGTTCTTATTTGGTGTTTTTGAGAGTTCATTCTCATGCCCCATTCTCTGAAAGGCTGCTCTACAGGGACTGCAAACTAACTCTCCGCTGCCTCTGATCATCTGTCTGTCTTCAACTCTCTCTGGCTTTGTTTTCCCTAACAGAGTTCATCAGTTTCTTAACCTAATATATTCCTAGTTTCACTGAGAAGTTGCATCTACACCATTTCGCCTAAACACCAACATATATTATTTAAAAACTGCAGGAATGTGCATTATAATCAGTGGCGGCTCCAGAGTATTTGTGTTGGGTAATCTATGGTAGGGCTAACCCATACAGTGGTGGTGCTCAAATCAGTATTTGCAATGTAATTACATACACGCTATATCGCCCCCCTTGACAGTGAAACGCCACGCGTGAGGTTTAGATTATTTCCCTGTCTCAATCAAAATGGAACTGTATGAAATAAAACGGCACATTTGTCTTGTAGTAAATAAAAAGGGATCACTGTGAACGTGACGTATGATAGTACACGTTGAAGATCCAATGGGGATACTGAATGGCGGTTTCGATTGATCTCAATCAATAAGGCATGACGCAGACCCAACGTTGCGTTGCTCTGATTGGCTGTAGGTCTATTCAAATTGCATTCGGAGGCATTTTGATCTGACCGCGGCCGCGCTGATATTTTAACGCCAGAGAATTTCCACACCTTTAGTGTATAAAACTCCCCCACTACTTAGACTATTCCTTGCACCCCTCTTATAGCATAAGCCGAATGGTCTCAACCATATTGTATCAGTAACGTGCACTTGTTGTTACAGCAGGATCAGTTTGTGTGCTGTGGACACGACCCGTATATTTTCGCAAGCCGTGTTCTCAACATTTAGCATTTTGCTTATTATTTAATTTAATTTGCTTACTTTAACATAATTGTTCATGGTGGGGCTAAGGTGGGGCTAAGCCATTTCTTGGTATGGCTGTAGCCTACCCCAGCAATACCCTGGCGCCGCCACTGGTTATAAAGTACTTGGGCTGTCATCTTAGCTCTCTGTGCATTATGTAATAATACACTTTAAGTACACACACACACACACACACACACACACACACACACACACACACACACACACACACACACACACACACACACACACACACACACACACACACACACACACACACACACACACACACACACACACACACACACACACACACACACACTCTCTGAGGGATTAGCCTTTCCTGGAGGTGGCGTGTGTGTGATGGGAGGAGCCGTGCGCTTTGGATATAAACTTTAATTTCCTGCAGTCATGGGAATTTGACCCTTTTATCCCAACATGCTTACACACACATTCACTACGATGAAAATACTTGTTCTTCTCTTACGTTTTAATTACATTCTCTCTCATCTGTGGTTAAGGGGCAAATAAGAAAATCATTTCTATATTTAGAGCCCCAAGATATTCTGGTTTGAGGTTTTGTTTTTGCGATGCCCGGGAACTCCGATGGTTCCTTAATAGGGAAAAGACCCCGATGTTGAATTAATGATTTCTAAACACCGGCTTGGTAACCCAAACAATGGCTCCGTCCACATAAACCCAGTCAGAGGAGGATGTGGAGCTCGTAAAACAGAAGCACACACCGATAAAACACAGACACAGAAAAATGCTGTTGCCTAATATGCCCTCTCAACATTACCCACTATATGTATGCATTGTTTTCTGCTATTAAACTCCACTGTTGCTGCCACTGATTTCAATGTGTGGGTAATCCTCAGGAATTTCGAGTAAACACCAAACAAACAAGCAATGCTGGTTTTCAAACAGTCCAACTGAGATTCAATTGCAAATGGGTCCTATTCTGCTCATTTTCAGGATCATACTTGTATGTAGTCTCTCTACTTTAAAGAGTCCTCTCCTGCTGATGTTCAGGTGTACTGTATATCAGTATGTAGTGGCTCTACTTTAAAGAGTCCTCTCCTGCTGATGTTCAGGTGTATATCAGTATGTAGAGTCTCTACTTTAAAGAGTCCTCTCCTGCTGATGTTCAGGTGTATATCAGTATGTAGTGTCTCTACTTTAAAGAGTCCTCTCCTGCTGATGTTCAGGTGTATATCAGTATGTAGTGTCTCTACTTTAAAGAGTCCTCTCCTGATGATGTTCAGGTGTATATCAGTATGTAGTGTCTCTACTTTAAAGAGTCCTCTCCTGCTGATGTTCAGGTGTATATCAGTATGTAGTGTCTCTACTTTAAAGAGTCCTCTCCTGCTGATGATCAGGTGTATATCAGTATGTAGTGTCTCTACTTTAAAGAGTCCTCTCCTGCTGATGTTCAGGTGTATATCAGTATGTAGTGTCTCTACTTTAAAGAGTCCTCTCCTGCTGATGTTCAGGTGTATATCAGTATGTAGTGCCTCTACTTTAAAGAGTCCTCTCCTGCTGATGTTCAGGTGTATATCAGTATGTAGTGTCTCTACTTTAAAGAGTCCTCTCCTGCTGATGTTCAGGTGTATATCAGTATGTAGTGTCTCTACTTTAAAGAGTTCTCTCCTGCTGATGTTCAGGTGTATATCAGTATGTAGTGTCTCTACTTTAAAGAGTCCTCTCCTGCTGATGTTCAGGTGTATATCAGTATGTAGTGTCTCTACTTTAAAGAGTCCTCTCCTGCTGATGTTCAGGTGTATATCAGTATGTAGTGTCTCTACTTTAAAGAGTCCTCTCCTGCTGATGTTCAGGTGTATATCAGTATGTAGTGTCTCTACTTTAAAGAGTCCTCTCCTGCTGATGTTCAGGTGTATATCAGTATGTAGTGTCTCTACTTTAAAGAGTCCTCTCCTGCTGATGTTCAGGTGTATATCAGTATGTAGTGTCTCTACTTTAAAGAGTCCTCTCCTGCTGATGTTCAGCTGTATATCAGTATGTAGAGTCTCTACTTTAAAGAGTCCTCTCCTACTGATGTTCAGGTGTATATCAGTATGTAGTGTCTCTACTTTAAAGAGTCCTCTCCTGCTGATGTTCAGGTGTATATCAGTATGTAGAGTCTCTACTTTAAAGAGTCCTCTCCTGCTGATGTTCAGGTGTATATCAGTATGTAGTGTCTCCACTTTAAAGAGTTCTCTCCTGCTGATGTTCAGGTGTATATCAAGTTTTGAATTATAATTTGCCTCTCTCTTCAGAATTTTCTCACATACTGTACACACACACACATACACACACACACACACACACACACACACACACACACACACACACACACACACACACACACACAATGTCCCTTTGTCTTTCATGTCTGGGTCCGTGCAGCCATTAAGCGAAGCAGCTATTCACACAAACAACAACGCCTATTGAAATGCTCCGCTCTATTCTGGGAACAAAGCAAGACGTACAAGGACTAACAGGAGTGAAGATGATAATGAGGGTGGGGTTTGTTTTCAGAGAAAGGGGTGATGATAGAGTGTATGATGTTAAATTTAGAGCTGAAAAATGTATATGTTCATGTAGGAGGCGTGTGGCGCAGTGGATAGGGCCTTGGTGTTCGAATCAGGGGCGCACAGGTTCAAACCCCACTGCATGTCGTTGTGTCCCTGAGACACTTCACCCCAAATTGCTCCTGTGGGGATTGTCCACAGTATTGAGTATGTAAGTCGCTTTGGATAAAAGTGTCTAACAAGTGACATGTGATGTAATGTAATGTAATGTGTATATGTGTGTTTGTGTGGCGTTGACCGGGTATCTTATAAATCAAACACACTTACATGACGTATAAATGGAAATTAGACATCACTACTTATTTTTCTGACTACTTTTTACTTCTACTTCTGACATTTTGAACCCAAATACCTGTACTTTCTACTTCTTACATTTTGAACCCAAATACCTGTACTTTCTACTTCTTACATTTTGAACTCAAATACCTGTACTTTCTACTTCTTACATGTTGAACTCAAATACCTGTACTTTCTACTTCTTACATGTTGAACTCAAATACCTGTACTTTCTACTTCTTACATGTTGAACTCAAATACCTGTACTTTCTACTTCTTACATTGTGAACACAAATACCTGTACTTTCTACTTCTTACATTTTGAACACAAATACCTGTACTTTCTACTTCTTACATGTTGAACTCAAATACCTGTACTTTCTACTTCTTACATTTTGAACCCAAATACCTGTACTTTCTACTTCTTACATTTTGAACACAAATACCTGTACTTTCTACTTCTTACATTGTGAACACAAATACCTGTACTTTCTACTTCTTACATGTTGAACACAAATACCTGTACTTTCTACTTCTTACATTTTGAACACAAATACCTGTACTTTCTACTTCTTACATGTTAAACACAGATACCTGTACTTTCTACTTCTTACATTGTGAACACAAATACCTGTACTTTCTACTTCTTACATGTTGAACACAAATACCTGTACTTTCTACTTCTTACATTTTGAACACAAATACCTGTACTTTCTACTTCTTACATGTTGAACACAAATACCTGTACTTTCTACTTCTCACATTTCCCAAACAGGCTGGTTCCTTTAGTTTGAATGTGTGCTTGGTGGCGTGATCATTATTATTTAGAGTCATTGCGTGCCTATTGATTTGAACACGATCCGTGTATCCATCATTTCCTGGTCTTCTCTAAAGAAGAGGGACCAATGAAAACGTTGTCATGTTGCCGTTGTTCAGCATGGAAACATTCATTAGCTAACAATGACATTATTGTTCTATTAATATAAAGGGAGGTCAGGTACTCTTTAAAACAGCTGCTAGTTATGGGTACTTTTTACTTAAGTACATTTCAAAGCCCATACTTTTACTTTGAGTTAAGAAGTTTAGTCAGTACTTCTACTTTTACCAGAGTACTTTTAAACACGCGTATGTGTACTTCTACTTGAGTAAAGGATGTGTGTACTTTTGCCATCACTTATCGAGTGGCACACAGCCTTCACTTATCATTTTATTCATGGTCACTTTTTTGTTTTTCTCTCACAGAAATACACAAACGGAGGAAATCTCTACGCAGGAAGTTCGACTCCTTTTCGAAGGAGAAGAAAGAGCGAGGTGAGTTTGTCACACTAACAAGGTCAGGTGTGGTTAAACACAAAACCATCTGTTTTTTATAGAGTCCCTACATGACCCCCGTCACAAAATGAGTTAGTGACGGTAAATATTATAAACACAATGTGCCTTTCAGAGGTTGAAGCAGCCGCTGACGTCTTGTGGCTTTTACGACGAACGCTCTCACATTCTTGGAGTGTTTACAAAGGACTAGAGTTTCAGAGCGTTCAATGTTTCTGCGTGGTTTCCTCTTTATTTCAACATAAACTGATAAATGACTGGACACAAACTCCCACGATGCTGTGTCATCTAACTAATGTGAAAACAAACTCCCTCCCTCAGTAGTGTGCTTACGTACCTGCATTACTGGAAGTATCAAGTTTTAAAGTACTATTCATTTTATATACGTTGGTCAGTGCCAGGTGTCATTTCTGTCATTGCTCATAGTATTTTAAATCACATTAACTTAGTGTTGAACTATCTTGAAATAAATCATAACTACAATTTGATTATCTCATTACTTACTGCATTTTAAGTGATGGAAGTTAGTAGGTTTTTTCGTTTTAATCTCACTTGGACATCTTAAAGTTCTACTGTATATCTCCGGCAAGGCACGCTTATTTAGAGCACATTTTAGCAAGAGGAAACTCAAAGTGCTTTACAAAAAATATATATATAAAAAGCATTAAGATATAGTGTAACATAAATATATTATGAAATGATATGTAAAGTATTCAAAACAGTCATTAAAAAGCCAAGAGAATGCAAATTAAAACTGCAAACTGACCTAGAATAACACAGGTATAAAATATACGAATAAAAGTGACAAAAAGTGCGTAAAATATGAATAGTTATTTGATATAATAAGAGGCAGCACCAGAAAATTATATAATTACAAAAGATACACAATATATTTCATGTATGTTTTTTTTCCGATTGTCAGACAGAGAAATAGTCAAATTTTCAAAAATAATTACGAAAAATGTACTTATTTTTATGGTTTCATTTAATTTTGAGAACATTTTAGACAACAATGAGAATTTAAATTGTGTTTTATAAAAATAGATACAAATTGATCTGAAAAAATCAGCTTTTAAAAAACCATCTACTGTAACTACACAATTCAACCTCTAATCTACACAGGTCCTCGAAGGCATCATTATCACTGTCTGCCACTTGCCTCCATCTTTATACTTTCTTTCTCTTCTGCTTTCTTTACCTCCACCTCTTCTTTACCATCCTACTCTGTGGCTCCAGCCTCTTATAAAGAGATGTTCTTATTCTCAGGTGATTATCAGAGTACACTGTAAAAACTGTTGCTTTGGTAAAACTTAAAAAATATGTGTCAAGCGATTCCAAGCAATTTTAAGAGTTTAGTCAACTTTTGCAATTTTTGAGTTGGTGAAATGTACTTTTTTTAGTTTTCCTCTACTCAAGAATGTGTTACTTTGCTAAAACTTAAAAAATATGTGTCAAGCGATTCCAAGCAATTATAGGAGTTGGGTAAACTCACTAATGTGATTTTTTCTGCATATGAAAAGATGAGATGAGCCTACAATTAAAAGCCCAGATATTAAGTGTAACCAATGCAAATAACAATCTGCTAAGAACCACACGAGAATAAAGTAAATTATAAAACACAATTGAGTTGCCGGAACCTATATACGACAAACTCTTCCTGATTTCAATCCAACCCTTTAAATATTTGATAGCATTGAAACATTGCAGATTAAACAAATAAATTAAAAAAGGGAACGTTATGGACATGTTAATACATTTTATTAAAATGTGATTATTTCAAAACAGTTGTCATAAAAGAATAACAAGTTTGTTTAAAAGCACAACACATTAACATACATGGAGACACATGGTTATTACTTGATGGTTATAACTGCATCTGGCTCTTGGGCAACGTATCACTTCATGCTGTGCATCACGAGCCTGGTGCACTTCGACCTCTGCTGTTCCCTGTAAATACAAATAAAACACTAAATTGAGTACAAATCAGGACACACCATGTGTTTTCCTCAAAACAAAAATCAAATCCGTCTTGAAAACATAACGAGCCAGTTTACATTAGCTGTTAACAGACGGTAACAGAGGTGCTATTCACATGCATTACAAGGGGTTTAAGCCATCAACAAAAGGCTGGTTTGCAAGAAAATGAACCAAATAGTCATGATATTGATATAGTTCATAAAATGTCCAACTACTTCTTTTTAACCCCACCTCATGCTCAGAGATGTATATAAAGTGGCACATGGGTCCTAGAATAAAAAGAACAGACGATTATTTCAACTTTTATCTTGATAAGTGAGAGCGCAGGCCAGTCTACATGAATGCAGGGCAAGGCACGTTTCTGTCCAAAGGTTCCATGATGGAGTCGATAATGTTTTAAAATATCACTTTGAGTGGTGACACTAGTGCTGCATAGTTTACAACTCCATCCCATCTGTGATTCAAAAAATAGAAATGGGTACGTTTACCTGATGCTCATTATATTAGTATGTAAACATAACACGTCTTGAATTAACCTGTGAAACAACAACTCTGACACACTCAAGGGCTTACCTAATGTGAACCTGAAGTCCATAGCAGGAGGCAAAATGTCTTCAAGAGGAGGTGTGTTTTCTGGTGAGGCAAATGAAAGAACAAAATAGTTACATGATGACAATGTAACAATCATTTCAGTAGAATTCATTAAAACATATTTAATTCAATTAATGGAATCAAACATTAAAACACAATTATCATTTAAAACGGTATTGTATTTATATACATTTATAAGGATGGCATTGTTAGATACCAGTACAATTCCATGATTCTCTACACAGCAGATCCTAATTACTTCAATATACACTCCTTTATCTCGTTTGCATACTGTCTAATATCTACTTTATGTTGTAGTAAAACATCTCCTTAATAAAACTGTATTTATTGATATTTCTCGCTAAACACTGCATTTTACTGGACTACATTGAACACATCTTGCTGACGTTATACATGCCTCCTCGCCCAATACACACTTTTACTGAATTGCGCCTGAATGCACCTTAAATCACCTCCGTCACTTTCTACTGAGAGCTAACGTTAACTCTCCTGCAGATTCCAACACGTTGCAAAAGCATGAAAAATATAGTTTGCACTTAATTTTGTATAATAAGAACTCGATGCTGTAACTGCAGACTATGAGTTTAAATTGGGTACACTAAGATTGTTGAAAGGTAATTCATTGCTCACAGTAAAACAAACGGCGAAATACATATAGAGGAATTAATATCAAATAGGCGCATTAGTAACTTACTCTTACATAACCGTTGGGTTATAAAGTAGTAGGGAATAGTTTTAACGGAGGTATTTTACCGCATAACATGCACGGCAGGAGAGCCTCTGAGCCCCGCGGCCGCATCACGGTGCCCGGGCCAACGCTTAGAGCGGCGTAGGGGAACAGTTTGCGGAGTTGATTCTTAATACATACTCTTAACTTAACCACTTTTAACAGAATTGCGTCGGTAAGCACTTGATGCAAACTTTGCCCAACAACTTTGCGTGAAGAAATAGACTACATGAGCACGACAGGGCTGAGTCTAACTTTAACAGCAGTAATGGCGCTGGCATGCATTAAAATGTCGATGTTTCGTTCAAAACAGTGAATACAAGAAAAGTAAATAACACTTTCTAGTTAAAAAGCAGTAATTAATAACTCAGGTGGCATGCTTACTTGTTTTACGATGGTTTGAGGAGGATCCAACGCAAACACGTGTCCAACTGCTGAAGAACCGCTGCAAAGAGGAACAGGAAGTCTCACACTTTTTTGATTATTATTCAAAATTATTATTCTCGTTTGAGGGCGTGGCATGACCGTGGCGTTGAAAAAAGCATTTTTATTACGTTTTCCAAAACGTCTTTTTAAAGAAAGTTCAGAAAATGTGATATTAATTTACAAATTAATGAGTTCTTAAAACATGTTCTCATTGTTGCTTACGTGTTACTTATTTAAACGCACATTGAAAAAAAACTAATTTAGGGCAAGTCAATTACATAAAAAAATTGAGTTTTGTTGACTTCACCATCGGAACAGTTTTTACAGTGTAGTACTTATAGCCAAAACAAACGCCACATTCCCAGGTTGTCTGCGGCGCTCCTTAAATCCTGGCTGCAGCCCACAGGGATTTAGCCGAAGCTAACCTGGCTAATCAAAACACAGAACATTGGGACCTGGCAGCGATAGAGCTGGCTCTGCTCCCTCTGCTCCTGAAGGCATCACCGTGTGGCCTTCAGGGACCAGCAGTAAGGGAGATAGTCAAACTCTGCTTGGGTTTGCACCTCTGCACCGCTGGCAAAATCACTGCATGAAGTGAAATCCTCCAAAAGCTAAAGGGAGGTTTCCTCAGGCAGGAATTCAAGATTGGAGCTAACTGACGCCAACACAGTTTTATTGTGATGTCTTCACTTTTAAATCTAAGACTTAAGATGCCCAAAATATCCCTCTTTTTCAGTAATTGTAAGTAGGTAGTGGTGTTGGACAGAGCTTTAGCGTTGACGTATGCAGATTTAATGAGTGCCAAACGTTTATTTGGATGTCCAAATGTTATGGGTTAACGGCATGCTCGAAGCTAATTAGACAATGTCTGGCATTACGCAGTTCAACCTGAAGGAAAGAGGGTTTTTACCGGAGGGGCAAAAAGCCAAAAATGTAGTTTATTTGAGTAGTCTAGACCTTTCTTTTCAAACAGAAGCTGCTCAGAGGCATACGTGTAAATAAGAAAAGGCAATACCCATAATGTAATATTGGTCTTAATGTGATAATCAGTTTCATTAACCATCAATAACTCTGAAAATAGCTAACTTTAAACGTCTGTGGGGTCATTTTAGCCAGCTTAACTGCCAACTCCAGACATAAGTATGGTGTTGCTCTTGATTGTAACCACAAAATACCAAAACTAGCTGTTGAAATGACAAGAGATGGATGAAGACGTTTCAAATCCTGCTTATTTTGCTCCATTGACCTGGCTAATGGCTACATAAATCAGACATAAGTAATACATAACTTTTGTTGGAACACCCACCATTGTGATGTTTGAAAAGGGGGTTTCACACATGATTAGCTCATTCAACTGGAGCCTCTTCGCCCCTCACTCCACCTCCAATATTTGTGTTTTTTACTACATTATTTTGGGGGAAAGGTTAAGAAGAAGTTCCTACACTTCCTATAGTTTGCTTCTGTGTTGTTTCACTGGGGTTTACACAGAGGACATCCTGAGTTAAGTCAACATACATTCACTTAACTCAAGACCCCCCCCGAGGACCCATTTTCACATCCAGCTGCTGACGTGGTGATGGAGGAATAGTACTGAGAAACTTCTAAATATAATACCTCCTTCATTCTTCCAGGAACACACAATGACCCGAGGACCAGAAATACTAAAGCAGTGAAATTCCTGAACAATAAGAGTGGGACACACACAGCTGTCTTCCTGTCTGAGTTAACAAGGTCAGGTCCTGAGGGGTCTCATCAGTGAAAAACTGACTGTAGTAATCATGACTTCTGGGACCAAGGTTTTAAATTAACTGAGGTCAGGACTTCATATTCCCCTATACTGCAAAACCCATAAAAAAACATAATCCTGTGGTACGTAAGGAAATATAAGATTATCAGACGAGTTATTCATACATTTCTTAATAAATACAATATCATATTGGTTCATTTTTATGTATATTTAACTGTCAAATGTATTATTATTGTCAGATGTATAATTCAGGTAGAGAAATACTCTTTATATTTAAGATTTCTGGCCAACAAACAGTGTAATCTAAGTGTTTTTTCTAAGGGGTTTTATTACATTGAGTGAGCATTTTACACAACAATGAAAATAAGAAGAATTTGTAGTAAAAATGTAAAACAATTACTGATTTTAGGCGATTTGTAGGATGTTGTGACTAAAACTGATGAAATTACACTATTTTTCATGTTAATTCAAAAGACATCACCTTTTTATTAAAACATAAATATATTGATCGAGTTACTGTCATTTAAAACATTGTACTCAAGAAACAAAATAAAATACTGCTTTGAAACAACATGCTTACTACAAATGCTCCTATTCAGGTTGATTTTAAACGCACACCCCAAAACACCTGCAGACTTTATTCACCTTTCTTATAAAAGTTTAGTAGTGAAACCTCAGGTCTCTCGGTTGTCTAAATATCCCGTTTTACCTCGGCTGTCTGTCTGTCTCTGAAGTTTCGTCCAGGACTTTAAAGTGTCTCCAGCCAACTATTAAATCCTCGGCTGTTTACTTTAACACCTCCAGCAGCTCAAGCAGCTCACAATGCCAACTTTTTTTTTTACTGGATGCCAGAAGACATGTCCAAGTGTCAGGAGACAGAAGTCCTGCCAGCAGACGGCAGGACTGAGAGGAATTAGCCGTTAAATGATCGAACATCTTATTCATTGTTGTTGTTGCCAAGCAGAAATGTGTTTGTTTGAGTTAAAGAGTGACGTGTGCACAAGAAAAATCTTCCAGCCACTTCAAGACTGTGGGTGTTTCTCAATGTCGAGGAAGGCTGCTCCAGAGCCACTATTTCAAGCATGCTACGTCATCGAGTGCCGCCGAAGGACTGTTCCAATGTCCAGGATCCTTGGAATCCTACCGAGGCCGGCGTCCTTCGTAGCGAGACATTTCGAGGCTGCACATGTGTATCCTCCGCGGTCTTAAAATACCCACAATGCTTTGCGCACGGACCAATTTCCAAAATCTTTGGCGGAAATCGGGCTCCATTTAAGGCGTGGCCTCGCATATGACGCACACCTGTTAGCCTGTTCCACCATTCTTCGTTTTCCGAGGCTAGGAAGGATTCTTGCCTCGCTTCTGAAGGAAGTGACTCGGAAGACATGTCTATAGCAAGGAAGTGTTCTCGACATTGAGAAACACCCCCTGTGTCCATCATGATGAAGTGTGCTCGAGCAAGGATTTGACCTTAATAAGAAGCAAGAGAAAGGATTTATTTGATTAAATATATGTTCTTAAAATAGGTTTGCAAAACAGATACTGATGCTGGTTATTATGAGAGGTGGAGGAAGTACTTTTTAACTATTAAGTCAAACCAATATGTAAAATTATACTCCTTAAAAACCTTATACCTTAAAAACGAAGTACCAGAAGTGCTCATTATGCGTTAATGCAACTTTCATAATAATAAACAGGGTGTTATTTCGTTAGAGTAATTAATGCAGAAGTTCTCGACTTCTTTTGGTCTAGAAACTTTTATCATCAAGTTAAAATGTTGGTCATTCGCTTCCCTAAATATAATTTTACTTGAACTTTTCTGTGTCAAATTGTTAGATAAAAAGACGTAATGCTACAAGCTAATGCTAACTGGCAGTTGGCCATGCAATGCTAGAATTTAAACCGTGTAATTTCTTACATTTCACATGTTTTTTTTTCCTAATTGGATTTTGTGCCAGATCATCCGTTGAGTTTGTGACGTAGCAGATTTCCAGATCTGACGCTCCTGAGATGACACCATTAACCTCATGTTGATTTAGTATCTGCAGTAATCCGCTATCAGTGTGATGTCTGCCTCTTTAAGTGGATTATCCCTCTCTTACCTTAACTCTATTTATTCTGTCTATTCTTACACCGCTTTTCTACTTGAGCTCTGATCAAAAGCAGGTACGAGTTGTGCCTTTTTAAATCCTGTTTAATAGATTTCCTCTTAACGCCAACTTGGCCAGACCCTCTACACAACATCAGAGCAAACTTGAAGTGATGAAATAACACAATGTGCTTTCCTTTTTCTCCTTTTTCATTATGTTTAAGTATCGCTTATATTAGTTATAAATACTTTTTGTTTTGTACATTTGTTTGGTGTGTACGGAAGAGGATCAGGGCCATGTGAGAAACCTTTTTTGGGGATGTGACAAAAGGAGTTCTGACTTCTTCGGAGTCTCAGAAATCTTAGAAAAAAGTGAGGATTCAGACTTTTTTTCTTCAGAATTCAGACTTTTTTCTTCAGAATTCAGACTTTTTTCCTCAGAATTCAGACTTTTTTCCTCAGAATTCAGACTTTTTTCCTCAGAATTCAGACTTTTTCCCTCAGAATTCCCGTTCTCAGAATTCAGACTTTTTTCCTCAGAATTCAGACTTTTTCCCTCACAATTCCCGTTCTCAGAATTCTGACTTTTTTTTTAGCATAATTCAGACTGTTGTTCTCATGTGGCCCTAATCCTCTTCCAAAACATAATAATAAAAAGTAATACATTTTTGGGATGTGAGAAAAAACGTTCGGATTTGAATCAGAATCCTTAGAAAAAAGTCAAAATTCAGATTTATCTCAGAATTCAGAATTTTTTCTCAGAATTCTGAACATTTCCTCAGAATTCAGACGTCTTTCTCTCATGTGGCCCTAATCCTCTTCCATAGGTATACACTGTAAAAAAATGATAATAAAAAGTAATACATTTTTAGGGGTTTGAAAAAAAACGTTCGGATTTGAATCTCAGAATTCAGCATTCTGACTTTTCTCTCAGAATTCAGACTTGTTTAGTAATAAAAAGTAATATAACATAATACAAAGTAATACATTTGTTTGCTTTTCTATTTAATCTGCATGATCTCTCTCCTCAGAGTCGGCCCCCAAGGCGTTTGGGATCCCTCTCTCCCAGGTCATCGCTAACGACCGGGCCTATAAGCTGCGTCAGGACGCCCTGAAGGAGAGCCGGAGGGACTGTCTGGACCTCGAGGCCTCGGTGCTGCGCTTCAGAGCCGAGAAGAGGCAGTTCTTCAACGGGAACAAGCCGCCGGTCTGCCCCTCGTCCCTCACAGCGGGGGGTCTCTGCTCTCCGTACGCTAACTCTGTGGCACCGCTTTCTGAGACCCAGAAGAGCCAGCTGTCGCCCACGTTTCTGGATAACACCGGGCGAGGACAGAGGAGGGTGAGTGGGAGGCACTATTATAACCATAAAAGCTGTTAAAATATGTGTCAACATCTCAGAAACTAAGACATACAGCCTTCTTTCTATCATGGGGAAACCATTACAAAATGTTAAAGACTTTCAATAACTCCAGAGGTAATTGTCGCTCTCTCAACCCCATAAACAAGTGTGTACAAGTTGTAAAAATGTTAAATTGATACCACTATATTTACTAAGCCTAATGTTCTTCTTAATTACTTACAATATAGAAATGTAATTATTTAAGAAGATCATTTAAAGTTTATTGTAATTGATATTCAAGTATAATTAGACACATAGAAACTTTAAAGAACAAATGACAAGTAGAAACACACAAGTGTAGAAGTGTAGCCTGTATTTAACACAATGATTGTTCATCTTTTCTTGCTCCAAGTGCAACACAACAGTCTTTCATTTTTTCACATTCAATAAAGCAGTGGGGTTTTTTGTTTCGCCTCGCGTGTGTTTTCGGAGAGATTTGACTCAGTTGCTTAGGAAAGGAAATTGGGAGTGGGAGTGAATAATCGAATCATAGGGTCAAAATGTTTCAAAAATGTGTCAACATCTCAGAAACTAAGACACACAGATGAATGTGTAGATTAAATAATACATTTTACCCCTATATGCTTGGTAGTACCACCATCATTTATACGCCTAACGTGTGTTTTACATATAAAACGTATTTAAAGAATCTGGAATACACATAGGGCAAGGCAGGTATATTTATAATGCACTAACCCACATACACACTTTGTTTTCACATTTAGGAAGTGTAGCCTGTATTTGACGTAACTTTTTTCTTGCCCTAAGTGCAACACAACAGTCTTTCATTTCTTCCTTGCTTTTGACAAATACCACATTTAATCTATTTAATAAAGCCGTGGTTATTTCTTTATGAAGCCTTACTTCCATGTGTGTGTCTTCGGAGAGATTTGAATCAGTTACTCAAGGAAAGAAAATTCTGATCTGAGTCGTGTGTGTGTGTGTGTGTGTGTGTGTGTGTGTGTGTGTGTGTGTGTGTGTGTGTGTGTGTGTGTGTGTGTGTGTGTGTGTGTGTGTGTGTGTGTGTGTGTGTGTGTGTGTGTGTGTGTGTGTGTGTGTGTGTGTGTGTGTGTGTGTGTGTGTGTGTGTGTGTGTGTGTGTGTGTGTGTGTGTGTGTGTGTGTGTGTGTGTGTGTGTGTGTGTGTGTGTGTGTGTGTGTGTGTGTGTGTGTGTGTGTGTGTGTGTGTGTTGTAAATATTTACAAGCCTCGAATTATTCGGTGTCTTTCCACGGTCGTGTGTTTGCACAGAACATTTAGTGTGTGTTTTTTCCCTCTCTCTGCTGGTGGCCGCCACACCCAGTAATCCTTCTACACACTGATCTGGAAACAGTTGTTACCTTAAGCTCGTAATGAATATCATTAGAGCCGCGGAAAACGGTAATCGGACCTGAACCGGCTATCAAGTGCAGACACACAGCGCCGTCAGAACGTGAATATTTGGTTGGACACAGACAGAAATAATAATTTGGTTTTGTATTAAAAAGCATTTCCACATTAAGAGTCGGGTTAGGACTTTTATTTTAGATAAAGCTTATAGTTGGGGCTGGCTCAGGCTTCACAAAAAACATCCTCCTGGATCTTTTGGGTATTTTATTTACGTTAACAATAGCATTCGTCTCATTTGGACTGTCTATATTACAGTTTATATTCATTTTTTTTAATCTGTCATTTATGTTTTTTGGTACAGATTGTTAAAACCCCCTAAGTGTATTATTTGTAATATTTGGCTAGATAATTAATTTGTGGTTTTATAATAACAGCACCATCGAAACATTATACTTATAATTGATTATTAAATGTAAAATGTGAGGATTGTATTTAAAAATTCCCTTAAAGAAAAAATGCTTGTTTTGTTCGAACAATACTCCAAAATCTCAAATGTGTTAAACTTGCAACAGAATTGGAAGAAGTACTTATATATTTTACTTAAATAAAAGTACCAATAGTAAAAATATAAAGCCAACAGAACTGTCTTTAGTAGAAAGATGGTGAGAAAAGGAGTGAAAGAAAGACAAACTCGACCTAAATGGGACTCTGACTCACCGTCGAACAGCTGTCTGGACTGAAGCAGCTCACTGTTTACATATCTGAACACGCACGCACGCACTCAAGCACGCACGCACGCACTCAAGCACGCACGCACGCACGCACGCACTCAGCTGGATCAGTGACAGATAGCGTTCACAGAGTAAAGGTTGGAATAATTGGCTGTAACAGGATTGATAGGGTAAGAGAGGAATGCTTAGAGGCTGAAATCTCTGCGAGGACATTTCAGTTTATCAGATTAGAGCAAAGAATCAGACCTACTTTACCTGGTTTAGAAAAAGAGATGAAGGAGACAGAGGGATTTCCTACCTTAAAGTGGACCTATCATGCTATATTATAATAATATAGTGTAGGACCATACCTATATAAGGCATATTTATACTTTTTGTTTTTCAAAATACCAAACAGATCATGCATTTTAGCCATGCCTCATTTTGCTCAATTTGCACTATTTTAGCTCTGTTTTAGCAAGGGCAGATTCAGTGAGAACAGCACCACCTACAGGCCTGGCATATGTACTACAGCGTCTCCAGCGCTTTCGAACGGCAATGGCCGTGGCTGTCTCCTCCTGATTGGTGGAGTTGGCCCAATAGCCGTAGTGCCACTGTCCTGACGTCAGGACAGTGTTCAAATCTGGATCAGTTTTTATCAGATCCGTTGCAGCCCCTTTTTTAGAGATTTGGGTATGGAGGAAAATAGAGAGGGTTGTGTTTTCTGACACTTGGTGAGTTCCCTGGAACACCGGGGACACATATTCATGTATAAAAGACGTACAAAAGTGCATTTTGCATGATAGGTCCCCTTTAACTATCCAGATTCAACACTACCTACTCATTATTAGCAGGTAAAAAACGCAATTAATACATTTATTTTAGTCATATGGACCGTCTAAGAGCAGATTATAATGATATTTAAGTAAAACCTGCTTTATTTAATCCAGTTAGACTTCCATTACTTCTAGAAAAGTCAGCTCTTAAAATGTGTTTACTTCCGGGACATAGTGACATCACTCCAACACATTGTACGTGATAGGCTAAGGGGCGGGACATCTCTAAGCGGTTGTCCAATCACAACAAAGCCGGCCAGCTAACCAATCAGAGCAGACTGGGCTCTGGTTTCAGACAGAGGGTGAAAAGAGGTGCTGCAGTACAGGCAGTATGAGAATAATAAAGAGCTTTTTGAACATGAGACATGTCAGAGTAGAGACACTACATACTGATATACACCTGAACATCAGCAGGAGAGGACTCTTTAAAGTAGAGACACTACATACTGATATACACCTGAACATCAGCAGGAGAGGACTCTTTAAAGTAGAGACACTACATACTGATATACACCTGAACATCAGCAGGAGAGGACTCTTTAAAGTAGAGACACTACATACTGATATACACCTGAACATCAGCAGGAGAGGACTCTTTAAAGTAGAGACACTACATACTGATATACACCTGAACATCAGCAGGAGAGGACTCTTTAAAGTAGAGACACTACATACTGATATACACCTGAACATCAGCAGGAGAGAACTCTTTAAAGTAGAGACACTACATACTGATATACACCTGAACATCAGCAGGAGAGGACTCTTTAAAGTAGAGACACTACATACTGATATACACCTGAACATCAGCAGGAGAGGACTCTTTAAAGTAGAGACACTACATACTGATATACACCTGAACATCAGCAGGAGAGGACTCTTTAAAGTAGAGACACTACATACTGATATACACCTGAACATCAGCAGGAGAGGACTCTTTAAAGTAGAGACACTACATACTGATATACACCTGAACATCAGCAGGAGAGGACTCTTTAAAGTAGAGACACTACATACTGATATACACCTGAACATCAGCAGGAGAGGACTCTTTAAAGTAGAGACACTACATACTGATATACACCTGAACATCAGCAGGAGAGGACTCTTTAAAGTAGAGACACTACATACTGATATACACCTGAACATCAGCAGGAGAGGACTCTTTAAAGTAGAGACACTACATACTGATATACACCTGAACATCAGCAGGAGAGAACTCTTTAAAGTAGAGACACTACATACTGATATACACCTGAACATGATCACAATAGGACCCCTTTAACACTTTTCCATATTGACTTTGTATCCTAATAATTCCTGAGCTCTGGTACCGTTTGGTTTCTGGACCGAGGTACCGTTAGAAATTCCTCTGACACTTGACGTTCCTCCAGAAACATTTGCTGTAGGTCACAGACGGATGATTTATAATCCTGTGGTATTCGTTTTCAGCCTCTCTGATATTTATCGGATGGCACCGTAACGATGTTCTTCTGGCCTCTTCTCCTCACATCCATCTTTAAAATGTCTTTCCATTTCTCCTGTCAGTGCTTCTCTCTTTTCTTTCTCTACTGCAACATTATAAGAATATGTCGGTTCACAGCGGTTCAGATTACTCCATGTTATGCTAAGTAATCACTCCTATAGTGATGAACCCAGAGAGATCAATATCTACAGACTGCATAGATTACATCGTTTTTTTCATACTGTTCAAGGGGCAGAATTTTACATTATTAGATAATAAATACTGGTGATTGAATGTGGAGTCAGTTGAGCTGGTTTCTATAACATTATGAAGTAAGGGTTTGATAGCTTAGTCACGTAGTTTCTAACCAAGGCTTATAAATAAAATATGAGGGGATGAGAGATGGTTTATGGAAGAGAAGTCTGCTTCACACGTTTCTATTCATATTTTAGACTTTTCCCTTGGATTTATTTAGGAGATATCAGATTATTTGATCACTTAAAGGTGGGGTAGGTAAATTTGAGAAACCGGCTCGAGATACACTTTTTGTTATATTCCATGGAATGCTCTTAACATCCCGATAGCAATGAATATCTTGAAGTGCTTTGACAAAAAATCCATAAAAACATGTCATCTGTGGAAGCCGTAATACTGTAAAAAGTACAACCATTTTAGCCAGCCTTCCATCTGTGCACACACTTATCACGTGTCCTCATTGGTCATTACATTACATTACATTTCATTTAGCTGACGCTTTTATCCAAAGCGACTTACAATTACCAATTACAGGGACATTCTCTCTGGAGTAACTAAGGACTAAGTGCCTTACTCAAGGGCACACTAGTGGTGTTGTTCCTGGCAGGATTAGAACTCACAACCTTCCAATCTTCAGCCCACCTCACTATCCTCACATGTGCACGTTCGTGTGTGTTGGAGGAGGGGCTCTGTAAGGAAGTAGCAGATTTCTTCCGGCTGTGTATTTTCAAATTCTAGCGCACTCGAGCTGGTTTCTCCAAAATTACCTACCCTACCTTTAACTACTAAACTATCAGAAAAATGTAAGAATGAAAAAAGTCAAAAAGTCCCAACTAACTCCAGCTCTCATTAAATGTAAAAATGAAGTACAATATTTACCTCAAATGTCCAAATTAAAATCAGAAATCCTTTATTTAGTCCCACAGAAGGGAAATGCATATTGTTACAGCAAAGTGAGTGGATATAGAAAGGTAAACACAATGCAAGTATGACACAAGTGTAGCTTAAATATTAAATAAAGAGGCGAGCACAAGTTAATAAGATCAATGGTAAAAAAACATAGAATGAAACTGAGAAAAGGTGGCACAATAAAGAGTATGTGAAGATATAAAGTAGGTGAGTACATGATGCAGTAAAGAACAAGCAGAGGGGGGAAGTAGTGGAGTACAAATACTTTGTTACTGTACATCTTTCTGGTATCAGTACTTTACTCCACTACTTATTTTTCTGACGACTTTTTACTTTGACTTCTTACATTTTGAACACAAATACCTGTGGCCTCATTTATAAAGGGATATACGCTCAAAAAATGGCGTACGCCAGTTTCTACGCAATGTTTGCGATTTATAAAATACTAACTTGACGGGAAAATGTGCTGTCCTCCACGCAAACTCTAACCCATGCGTACGCACTAAGCACACAAACGGGAGAGACGAGAAACTGCGACACCGTTGGCAGAAGGAAGAATGGAGAGAAATATGTGGAAATAATACCATAAATAAAATGTTACCTCTCATTTATGAAATATGAAGAATTCATTTTCAAACATTGATTAAAGCCAATCTTTAAATGATTAAACAAACGCCTGTTTGAGACTCCTCAGTGCACACAAAAACATAACTTGGAGAAATAAATAAATACGGATATGTTATTTAAAACCACCTCGAATATGTTGTGTTAATGTTATGAAATGTTTTCTCATAAATGATGCGGTAAGCAGGAGGACAGAATAAACTGACGCCGTTTTGCATTTCTATAGGTTGTAGATACGAGCATGGTTTTATATACTATCACGTTTAATCGTGTTTTATGCCGTTTGCCAAGACTTGATAAGTCGCTCGTAAAACACAGGAGGTATGGAAACTAAGAACACCATATGTGGTAAACAGCTAATATAACACAATCCATTAATTGTATTTCCTTTAACTGGTGGATTATGGATATATAGTTGCTGATCGACAGCTGGAACACAAACCACCAAATACAACAAAAATAATTCAGATCCAGTTGTCATGACTCCACTCCGGAGGGATTCCCCGATCATTTCTTACAGTTTCTCATCAAGGGGGTGTCTCCTGTCCCCGGGACAAACACACTGCCTGAGGAAGGTTATGTGTATTTTTTTTGTCATTAACTTTTTTCGGACCACTTATTTATTTATCTTGGTGACGATCCGACCTCCATGCTGCTACTCTGGTTCAAACTGCATCCACCAAACAATATGATTTATCTCGACCTCCCCACAATAACCAAAATCTGACACGGTGTGAGATGTCTTTTTTAGCTGTTCTGTCCTCATTTCCTGCGATCTTCTTCATGCAGTCAGTCAGAATGAATGAATGAATGGGCGTTTCTTTGACTATTTATAGGTAAATATGGGCGTTACGAGAAGCCTGCAAAAGCTGCGCCGCATTTCGAGTCGATTGTGATTTATAAAGGGAAACAGGCGTATGAAGTGCCGTACGCACTTCCCTCGCCGGTACGCAATGTTTTGTGAATCGGAAAATGTCGGAACATTTCTGTACCTATTTTTTTGCTTTGTACTACGTAAGCAACCTTCTCACGTCAATCCTACGCAAGGCGTTATAAATGAGGCCCCTGAACTTTCTACTTCTTACATGTTGAACCCAAATACCTGTACTTTCTACTTCTTACATGTTGAACCCAAATACCTGTACTTTCTACTTCTTACATGTTGAACACAAATACCTGTACTTTCTACTTCTTACATTTTGAACACAAATACCTGTACTTTCTACTTCTTACATTTTGAACACAAATACCTGTACTTTCTACTTCTTACATTTTGAACACAAATACCTGTACTTTCTACTTCTTACATGTTGAACACAAATACCTGTACTTTCTACTTCTTACATTTTGAACACAAATACCTGTACTTTCTACTTCTTACATGTTGAACACAAATACCTGTACTTTCTACTTCTTACATGTTGAACCCAAATACCTGTACTTTCTACTTCTTACATTTTGAACACAAATACCTGTACTTTCTACTTCTTACATGTTGAACACAAATACCTGTACTTTCTACTTCTTACATTTTGAACACAAATACCTGTACTTTCTACTTCTTACATGTTGAACACAAATACCTGTACTTTCTACTTCTTACATGTTGAACCCAAATACCTGTACTTTCTACTTCTTACATGTTGAACCCAAATACCTGTACTTTCTACTTCTTACATGTTGAACACAAATACCTGTACTTTCTACTTCTTACATGTTGAACTCAAATACCTGTACTTTCTACTTCTTACATGTTGAACACAAATACCTGTACTTTCTACTTCTTACACGTTGAACACAAATACCTGTACTTTCTACTTCTTACATGTTGAACCCAAATACCTGTACTTTCTACTTCTTACATGTTGAACCCAAATACCTGTACTTTCTACTTCTCACTTTTTCCAAACAGGCTGGTTCCTTTAGTTTGAATGTGTGTTTGGTGGCGTGATCATTATTATTTAGAGTCATTGCGTGCCTATTGATTTGAACACGATCCGTGTATCCATCATTTCCTGGTCTTCTCTAAAGAAGAGGGACCAATGAAAACGTTGTTATGTTGCCGTTGTTCAGCATGGAAACATTCATTAGCTAACAATGACATTATTGTTCTATTAATATAAAGGGAGGTCAGGTACTCTTTAAAACAGCTGCTAGTTATGGGTACTTTTTACTTAAGAACATTTCAAAGCCTCTTTACTTTTACTTGAGTAAAGAAGTTTAGTCAGTACTTCTACTTTTACCAGAGTATTTTTAAACACGAGTATCTGTACTTCTACTTGAGTAAAGGATGTTTGTACTTTTGCCATCTCTGAGAACAAGTTAAAGTAGCATGCAATGGAGAAACTCAAGTAGAAATACCTCGATAATGTCCTAAACTTCAGTATCTCTTCAGGGCGGGCTGTCGGTGGACTCGATCTCCGACCTGGTGGAGAGTCAGTCTCGCCTGCTGGAGGCGCTGCAGCTGTCCCACCCCGCAGAGCTGGAGCTGAAGAAGGAGTGTTCCTCAAAAGGGAGAACCAGAACCAGAACCCAGAACAAGCTCAGCCTGAACCCCGTCTACAGGCAGGTTCCCCGGGTGCTGGAGCGCTGCTGCAGACACATCCAGAACCACGGTGAGACACGGGATCTGACGTCTGGAGAACATAAAGTGGTGTTTTTTTGGACAAATATTTGTATTGGCATTTAGTTTTTCCCTGGTAAAGACATCACACACATGTATACCCCCCCCCCCCCCCCCCCCCTCCCCAAAGGAATAAATACAATAACACGTCACAATGAAGAAAACATACACACATATGAGTAGTAACAGGATGTGGCATTCAGAGTCCCTAAAGTGGGGTTTTTATGACACATCTTTGTATGCCATTTTAGTTTTACAGCTTAATAAATAACACATGCTAACCCTCCCAAAGGAAAAAGTGTATATACATAAATATACAAATATTAGGGTTAAATACAAATTCAAAAAACAAAAACAGAATTTGTCCCCAAACTACATTAATTTAAATATTAAGACTGAAGTCCCCGTTAATATATATTTAAACACTATTAAATATTGAATTAAATTAGATTATTTCATACAGTTAACTTCGCAAATATCTCCATACATTTTGCACAATTAAATCTGTTTTATTTTTCAGAGTAATTGTCATATTTTTATTGTACTTATTTTTTGTGTATTATTTCTTCTAGACATTTTACTGAATTTATTAAGAAGAAATCTTATTCAAAATATGGTTTTTTTTAGGTTCTTTTTATGTAGTAGTTTCTTTATTTGCTCCTTTTTAACTATTTATTTTGACTGTGTTTATGTACACACCAATATAACCCAAAAACCAAAACCACTTGGCTATAAACCGGATTCTGATTGTCCTGGATGATTTATTTTGTGTCCCCAGGTCTTCAGACGGTGGGAATTTTCCGAGTAGGAAGCTCTAAGAAGAGAGTGAGACAGGTGAGGACATTATTACATGGATTTTAACCCGTAAATAAACAATAAAACACATCTGAATAAAACGTTGAAAACATTGGCCAAATCAAACACATCTAAATATGGATGTAAACATTTTTATTTGAAGATTTATTTTATTCCGTCTCGCATTTGGACCTTACTACTAATAAAGATTATTGTATGATTTACTGCCCTGTGTTTCCCGTTGAGCTGGAATATGGAAATAATCTTGAAGGGAAAAGCTGACGATGTGTGATATCCTGTTTTTGAGAAATGGTGTCCAATAGTGGAAAGTGTCTCCTGTTTGACCCTCAGTGTGTTTTTATCTTCTTCTTCTTTGATATGTATTTGGGTACATGTGTCCTCTGTTTGCTCCCCAGCTGCTGGAGGACTTCGACCGGGGGGTGGATGTTCAGCTGGACGAGGAGCACAGCGTCCACGATGTGGCGGCGCTGCTCAAAGAATTCCTCCGAGACATTCCCGATCCTCTGCTGTCCAGAGAGCTGTACCCCGCCTTCCTGCACGCCGCCTGTGAGCAAACACACGCACACACACACACACACACACACACACACACACACACACACACACACACACACACACACACACAAAAAACACACCACACACACACAAATCACACACACACCACACACACCACACACACACCACATAACGGAGACAGACATTCACTTGGTATTAAATCCTGTATTCCTGAAGCTGATTCTCCTCTCTCCTCCTCCTCTCTCCTCCTCTCCTCTCTCCTCCTCTCCTCCCTCTCCTCCTCTCTCCTCCTCTCCTCTCTCTCCTCCTCCCTCCTCCTCCTCTCCTCTCGCGCTCTCTCTCCTCTCCTCCTCTCCTCCCTCTCCTCCTCTCCCTCTCTCCTCCTCTCCTCCCCTCTCTCCTCCTCTCCTCTCTCCTCCTCTCCTCTCTCTCCTCTCTCCTCCTCTCTAATCCTCCTCCTCTCCTCCTCTCCTCTCTCTCCTCTCCTCTCTCCTCTCCTCCTCTCTCCTCCTCTCCTCTCTCCTCCTCTCCTCTCTCTCCCTCTCTCCTCCCTCCTCTCTCCTCTCTCCTCTCTCCTCCTCTCCTCCTCTCTCCTCTCTCCTTCTCCTCCTCTCTCTCCTCCTCTCCTCTCTCTCCTCCTCTCCCCTCTCTCCTCCTCTCTCCTCTCCCCTCATCTCCTCACTCTCTCCTCTCTCCTTGTCCTCCTCCTCTCTCTTCAATCTCTCCTCCTCTCTCCTCTCTCCTCCTCCTCTCCTCCTCTCTCTCCTCTTCTCCTCCTCTCTCCTCTCTCTCCTCCTCTCCTCTCTCCTCTCTCCTCCTCTCCCTCTCCTCTCCTCATCTCTCCTCTCTCCTCCTCTCTCCTCCTCTCCTCCTCTCTCCTCTCCTCATCTCTCCTCCTCTTCTCTCTCTCAGCCTCCTCCCTCCGTCCTCCTCTCTCCTCCTCTCTTCCTCTCTCTCACTCAGCCCTCCTCTCTCTCTCTCTACTCCTCTCCCGCTCAATCCATCCTCTCGCTCGCCTCTCTCCTCTCTCTCGCTCTTCCCCCCCCCCCCCCCGCTCCTGCCTCGGGCATCTCTCTCTCCTCCTCTTCGCTCTCTCCTCTCCTCTCGTCTTTTTGTTCCCTCATCTCCTCTCCTCCTCTCTCCGTCTCTCCCCTCTCTCTCCTCGCATCTCTCCCCTCTCTCCTTCTCCTCTCTCTCCTCCTCTGTCCTCCCTCTCCTCCTCCTCTCATCTCTCCTCTCCTCCCTCCTCAATCCTCCTTCTCTCCTCCTCTCTCCTCCTCTCCTGCCTCTCCTCCTCTCTCTCCTCGCCTCCTCCTTTCATTTTTGAATCCCAGACAGCCTCTCTCCTCCTCTCCTCTCTCCTCCTCTCCTCTCCGTCTCTCCTTCTCCTCTCTCCTCTCTCTCCTCCTCACCTCTCTCCCTCCTCATCTCTACGTCTCTCTCTCCATCCTCCTCTCCTCATCTCTCCTCCTCTCCTCCTCTCTCCTCCTCTCCTCCTCTCTCCTCCTCTCTCCTCTCTCCTCCTCTCCTCCTCCGTCTCTCTCTCCTCTCCTCCTCTCTCTGCTCTCCTCCACTCCTTACTCTCAGAAGGTCCTCATCTCCTCCTCTCCTCCTCTCTCTCCTCCTCCCTCTCTCCTCCTCTCTCCTCTCTCCTCCTCTCTCCCCTCTCCTCCTCTCCTCTCTCCCTCTCCTCTCTCCTCTCCTCCTCTCTCCTCCTCTCCTCTCTCCTCTCTCTCCTCCTCTCCTCCTCTCCTCTCTTCTCAGTGCTCCGGGGCTCAGACCAGCTCCTCTTCCTGCAGCTCCTCCTCTACCTGCTGCCTCCCTGTAACTGCGACACTCTGCTGCGCCTCCTCAGCCTCCTGCACACCGTGCAGAGCTACGCCCAGGACAGCATCGGGACCAACGAGGAGGAGGTAATGTCTACCAATCTATCTGTGAGAAATGTGACCGTATTAAATTACTGTATTATATATTTGATCAATGTCTTGCGAGGGCCCAGCTTTATGGAAGTGCAATGTTCAATTGGAGTAATTGCTTAAGTCCATTAACTACATCAACAGCCCAGATCTGATAGTCGTATACCAAATATATTGATTTATCTTTGACAGCTCGGTTGTTGGGACATTTTAAATGTTAGGAGAAGCATTGAGTAAACATAGAAGTATGAGTTAAACACTTCATTTTTTAACCTGAGTTCAATCGGAGTAATTCAGTTTGGGTACTGTAGTTTTCAATCAAACGTTTTGGAAAAGTTCTTCATACACAAAGCAATTTTGCCGGTTTCATTTGTATATTTTGACAATTTTGCTGGTCTGTTATTATAGCACAACAACTAGTAAAGACAATAAGTGAACAACAATAAATAAATGTTTCAAAATGAAAGAAATGTGAGGTAAAATTATATTATTTCTTACCCGTCTGTGTTAGAAATGTGTGGCTTTAGACACTTTAATGCAGGGGTGTCAAACTCAATTTCATCACGGGCCACATCAGCATTATGGTTGCACTTAAAGGGCCGGTTGTAACTTTAAGACTATTTAAAAATACATAGATAAATATTTAATATATTTAAAATAATGTTATTGCCTCTGCATTGGATTATTATCGGATAGGGTAATAACTTCATAATTAACTACGTCTGAAAGCAGAAGTCTAGGGCAAATAATTGCAAGTCTCTTCAGTGAGAATGTCACAAAATGATTTTAAAAGAAAAGCCACATTCTGGAAAAAAAAGTCCAAAAAAAAAGGTGACATTTTGAAAAGAAAAGTGACATTTTGAAAAAAAAGTGACATTTTGAAAAAAAAGTCAAATTCTGAGAAAAAGGCAAATTCTAAGATAAAAGGCATATTTTGAAGAAAAAAAGGCAAATTCTGAGAAAAAGGCATATTTTAGAAGAAAAAAAGTCAAATTCTGAGTAATGAGTCAAATTTGAGATGCATTGTGGGACATGTAGTTTATGGGCAACGTGCTTCTGTAAATCGGCATTGGAACCGTATAATAAAAAAATAATATTCTGTCAGAGCTGTTGTGGGCCACAAAAAATGAAGTCACAGGCCGGATTTGGCCCCCGGGCCTTGAGTTTGACACCCCTGCTTTAATGGAAGTCTAACTTTTTCCACTATTAACAACGCTCAATATAATGAAATCAACCACCACCTTCCTCTCCCCTTTCTCCTCAGATCCTCGGGAACAAGATGACGGCGGCGAACCTGGCGGTGATCTTCGGTCCCAACCTGCTTCAGAAGGAGAGAGGAGGAGAGTCCAGTCCGCTGTCCATGGGCATCGAGGACAGCTCCGCCATCATCAGCGTCACCCTGCTGCTGATCCAGAACCACCGCAGGCTCTTCATGGTACGATGCCATCAGATCCAGCCTTTAAATCTGATATGACCTTTTATTCTGAGAAACAAGAGTCTAGTAAACAGGAAGTTGTTTTAGTATTAAAGGGTTAGTTCACACTATTAATCATTTATTATCGTGCAGATACTTTAGGTTTCGTGTGCTAAGGCTTTGCGATATTTGCTTTTTTACTTTAGAGATTAATACAATTTGGTTTGAGATGTATTTTGTACAGAGAAGGCTTTTTCCTCTTAATCCAGTCCAAACCAGTCTCACGTGTTTCCCTCCAGGTTTCTGCAGAGCTGCAGCAGGAAGTCCTGATGAGTCTAATCCAGACGGACCCCGACATCATCGACTATCTGCTGCGGCGGAAACTCAGGTAACCGTGACAACCAATCTGTCAATCAACTCCTTCCAACATATCACCTATTATGCAAAATCCACTTCTTCATGTCTCTTCTACATCAAAATGTGTCCCCTCTTCTTCATGTCTCTTCTACATCAACATGTGTCCCCTCTTCTTCATGTCTCTTCTACATCAAAATGTGTCCCCTCTTCTTCATGTCTCTTCTACATCAACATGTGTCCCCTCTTCTTCATGTCTCTTCTACATCAACATGTGTCCCCTCTTCTTCATGTCTCTTCTTCATCACCATGTGTCCCCTCTGTGTAAAGAGACTCTGAAAGTTTCAGGAACAAAGATTCTCTCTCTTTTCGTCCTGATCCATTTCTATAAAAACCTGTCTGAAAATGAGCTGATCAGATTTTGGCCACTTTATGATGTCATAACGATGTTTTGGCTTGTGTAACCATTAGCCAATCAGCACCCAAGGTAACCCCCCCCCCCTTATCACCTGAATCTCCTCCTAGAGCACCATTGTGTTCTTTGTAACCAAATCTCTCTCAGAGGGGCGTGGGGAGGGGCTCCTTATTTTCATCTAAAGTAACAGACAGAGAATCAGCACTTTGGAAACAGGGCTGAAACAGAGGGGATTATGGGATGCTGCAATGATCTGTTTGGTGTTTCAGCCAATCAGAGACATGTTCTGTATATATCTGAGACCTATAATATATTGATGAAAAACAGTGTAATAGGGGACCTTTAACTCCCCAAGAGCATCTCGGTGTATCTTTAAACAAACCTTCTTAATATTCCCCCCCAGCGGCAGTCCCCTGGAGGAGGAGAGTGAGTCGGGGGGGCGTCGGGACACGGTGGCATCTCTGGACTCCAGTGGGAGTCTCTCCTCCCTCGAGCCGCCCTCCCCCCTCTTCCCCCCCGACGGGAACGGGGGAGAGGGGAGTCTCACCAGCGAGGTGTTCATCAACGTGCTGAAGCTGAACCAGAACAGGAAGCGACAGGAACCCAGATACGGTACGCAGGGGGGGGCGTTATCAGTGATATCAGGGTTTTGTGTCCCTTACATTTGACTTTTTTCAGGCAAAGAATTAAGTGTATTAACCAGGAAAGTTCATAAACGCAATAAATCTAACAACGTCAACACAAACAGCCTGGAGAAGCGAGTTTAAATGCTAATGTTTTCCTCAACGTGCTCAAACTGAACCAGAACCGGAAGCAGGGAGGATGTAATCAATTATATAAATGTGTTTATTTAGACTTTGGGCCATCCAATTTGACTCTTTACGGGCAAAGAATAAAGTGTATTAATTAGCAAAGTTCATAAATGCAATAAATCTAACAATGTCAACACAAATACTGATAAGAAGTTCATATTAGTGCCGATTATAAGGAACATTGAGCAAGACTTTGAGTCACTTTTGTGGTTTTAAGTTAAAACACATTTGTCTATATACTATACTATGTGCTTGTTAACTTAAGGTTTATCTACAAGTAATTCTCCCAAAACGCTTCAGTTAAAAAATAATTGTGCATCCATCATTTCTAACATTCAAGGAAACAAATCATGTCATTTAAGGTCCTTATTGTTTACTGTAGACGTCAGTGATGTACAGTTTTACCCGAGTACATTAAAGTATCTTTGAAATGAAATGAGTCTTAGTGCTGAATGAAAGTCTGAACATCTCTCGGGCAGCCCACCAAACATTTGGCTAAAAATATTCGACCACACGGATGATAAATGTGGCAACAGCACCGCCTAGAGGAAACAGATAGAGAATTGTGTTATAACGTAAAGTATTAAACATTTACTCTCTTTTATAAAGAGTTCTGGCTAAAATGGCTGCACGCCTTTAACAGGAGGAGGAATACTAAATAAATAACAAATACTGAATGACTGTCTTAAGTAAAATGTGTCATATTTTGGTTGTTTCAAAGTTTTAATTTATAGTTTTTTTTAGGAAGGTATAGGGATTTGTGGAACGTTTAATCCTGAAAGAACAATTTAAAAAAGTTTTTCTCAGTCATCCATTTTGTGTCCAGTGTCTTGCATTTATTTCTTCCTCTTATCATTTGGACAAAAAGTAGAACATTATATATGTTTGCTCGAGGACACTTATAAACTTATGTAAACATGACCTCACCCTTATCGGAGGCTGTGGCTCAGTGGATAGTGTGCTGGACTTCTAATCTGGGGGTAGCAAGTTCGAGTCCCACTGCAGTCAGCATGTCGTTGTGTCCCTGAAGACACTTCACCCCAAATTGCTCCTGTGGGGATTGTCCACAGTACTGAGTATGTAAGTCGCTTTGGATAAAAGCATCTAACAAATGACATGTGATGACCTGGAGAGGCCAGTCTGTTGCCATCAGGGTGTAGATATGCTACCTGCTCTTAAGACAAATCGCTTTTCAAAATCATTCATCCCCTCTGCACTCAAACTTTTAAATTCTTAATTTATTTACTCATTTATTGTGATGCTATGAACTATTTATCGTGTAAATTGGAATGATCCACATCCAGGCTCCCGGGTGTATCGGTCTGCTTTCTTCCTGAAAGAACTATTTAAAAAACGTTTTCTCAAAGGCTAAACAGTCATCCATTTTGTGTCCACTGTCTTGAAGTGTTTTGCATGTATTTCTTCCTTTTATAATTTGAACAAAAAGGACAAAAAGTAGAACATACAGTATGATATATTTCCTCGAGGTCACGCAATAAAGTGCATATGTTAACCTTTTCCCCGTTCCTTCCTCCAGGTGAAGCTCCGTCTCATAAATCCATCTGCCACATGCGTCAGTTCCACTCCCACCACAACCTGCTCAGCCTGGCCCAGTCCTCTCTCTCCTCCACCACCTCCACCTCCATCTCCACCCCCTCCTCCCTGTCCTCCCCCCAGGACCTGGACCCCCTGCTGGGCTCGGCTCTGAGCTTCAGCTGCTCCAGCCTCAGTGGATCCTCAGAGAGCAGCATCTGGGTGAGACAGACCCCCCAGGAAGACGAGGGAAAACCGTCACCAGCGTCCAACTTCTGGGACTTTTTCACCGGGAAAGGGTCCGGCTCAGAGACCATGGTATGATGATGAGGAAGGAAGAAGAGGAAGAATATGAATTTTTCTGATGGTGTCCAAACTGTTTCAAATTAAACACGTACTGACTGGATTTTAAGATGGAATCATCTCGTCTGTTTTTTTGTGTTTCTTTGAGAGTTTGATGTTTCAACAAGGCAGGGTTTCAAATGTTCTGCATACTATACTTTGTTGTTTTTTTAAAAATGTTTTCGACATACTATACTATGTCATTTTGAACAAAAAAGGACAGTACTAGTCAAAAGTTTGGACACACCTTCTCACAAGGTTTGTATTTATTGTATACGTTGTAGATGAATACTGAAGACATCAAAACTATAAAAGAACACATATGGAATTATCTAGTAAACAAAAAAATGTTAAAAAATCCAGAATATGAGTTATATTTGAGATTCTTCAAATTAAAATAAACAAAGACTGTTGAATGAGAAGGTGTGTCCAAACTTTTGACTGAAAAAACGTCATCGTATAGTATGTTGAAAATATTAAAACGACATAGTAGGCTATAGTATACAGTGGCGGACTGGCCATCGGGACGTTCGGGACGAATCCCGATACTGAAGTGGGCCGGTCGGACGATGTGGGCCGGTCGGATAAGTCACTAGCACCCCCCTGTCCCCCCATCGACAATTTACTAGCGGTATTTACTGGTACCGAGGTGGGCCGGTCGGATAAGTCACTAGCACCCCCCTGTCCCCCCGTTGACAATTTACTAGCGGTATTTACTGGTACCGATGTGGGCCGGTCGGATAAGTCACTAGCACCCCCCTGTCCCCCCATCGACAATTTACTAGCGGTATTTACTGGTACCGATGTGGGCCGGTCGGATAAGTCACTAGCACCCCCCTGTCCCCCCGTTGACAATTTACTAGCGGTATTTACTTGCGGTACCGAAGTGGGCCGGTCGAGAGTCCCGGGCTGATTCCGCCCCCGATAGTAGGCTATAGCATAAAGAACATTTGAAATCCTTCATTGTTGAAACATCAAACACTTCTAGAATCACAAAAAACCCGACGAGATGATCTTAAAATCCAGTAGCCTACGTGTTTAATTTGAAACAGTTTGGACACCATCAAATGAAGGAAGAGAACGAGTGTGTGTTTGTTTGAGAGGCCAGAAAATGTGGGAAATGTACTGTTACGTTAAAACGACACACTACTGTTGTTAAAAACACAAGTTAGGTGTACTTCTCGGATTAAACACATGGTAAAATGTACATTCTGTGGCATTATTTGTGATTAATTGATTGATTTCTAAGTGTAAAAACATGTTAAAATGAACACTCTGCAGCATGAATCTTGAATCCTAAATGTCCTCCTTGAACATTTGACTTTTAAGGAGCATGCTGTTGAAGATATACTCATTTGAAGTTAGCATTTCCCTGTTTTCTGGCATCTCTGGAACATCTCTGGATGAATTTATGGTTGGGAAATGTCACAAGAAATGTTGATTTGTATCAGAAAACGATGGAAACGTTTAAGTGCAACTCTCTTAGAGGCTTGAGTAAACGCAGGTAGAGAGACTATATGAAGGTGGATGCAGTAATATTGGCTGTGTATATAATATGTACATGATGTATTCATAATTTGACACACACACTCGTCTTTACTACGTAGAACTGCATGCATGTGTGTATCTGCATGGACTCTACTATTACGCCTTGTTTGTCTATACTCCAGACATTTATAGATTCACTGTAAATATATTTTATAACTCATATCAGTCAAAACACCTGACCACATCTCAACCAGAACATTTCGTAACTCATTTTGTTTGAAGATATTCAACGTTTTGGTTCAATCACACCGTGTAAAAGATCGTATGTTAAGATGGAAAACTCAACTGGGAACATCTGATCCATGTTGTTTTAAAGACAATGTATATATTTCTATGTAAAGCAGAACCTCTGTGGACATTATCGCTATATTTCTTTTTTAAAAATGACGTATTTTCACCTGAGTCCGACCCATTTGAGATGAATGTTGTGGCATTATTGTCTGTTTTTATCAGGGTGTTCATACAGGAGAGTTTCCTTTCTTTAACCACAGGAGGGCGACCTTCACCACATATTGTTAACCTCTAAACCTCTGCCTGCTTTCACTACAGAAGCATATCATGTTGGCCAAATGTATAGACTCTGTTTAAGGTTAGGATCGTGTACATATGTTTGTTTCCGGCCTCTTTGTAGTAGAAACCTTGTTTGTACAGAGATTTATCTACATGGCATCGTTGTATTTCGTCACCTCAAACGTCCGCAGGTGAATGTTTCGTCTTAATTTTTTGATTACTTCTGGAGAAAACAAGATATGTTTCGTAAATGAAAAGTGTTTTCAAAGCCTAAACCTGAAAATGTACCGACTTCCCGCAGAGAATAAATGTCAATCTGCCTCTGTGTGTGTGTTTATTTTGAGTCTGTTGGAGGAAATCTGTTATATATCCTTGTTGGAACATCAAACTCTCAGAAACACAAATAAACAGACGAGATGAATCCTTCTTAAAATCCAGTACGTGTTTAATTTGAAACAGTTCGGACACCATCAGCCGTCATTCCCAAACTTCACTGCATCTACATGTATTCACAAAGGACTTCAGACAGCAGGAGGTGCAGCAGCAGACCCCACAAACAAAAACACAAACAAAAATCATAAACAATTGTGTTTTGTCCTTAGATCTGAGTGTGTCTGTGAGGCTCTGCACACGAGTTAGTTACAGAATCTTAGTGTTTGACACTTTCAGTCACTTTCTGCCCGTCACTAATACATTCTTGGTGAGTCTGAAAAGTCAGAGCGATTTGGACAACCGAAGCCCAGAAGGGACATTTTTAGGAGGACAGAACAACTCAAACTGTTAAAGGGAAAATCCACACGATATCATCAGTTTTTTTGCAATTTAATGAGATATTTTGTGAGAAATTAGTCAGAAAATCAATACAATATTGGTTATAAAGTCAATTTTGAATTAAAAAGGAAGTACTGAAACAAGCTTAGAGGCATGTTCATGTGTTTGAAAGTGGATTTTTCCTTTACAACGGTGACACACAGGACAGTTTTTGGTTTAAAAAAAAGTGTTTCTTATGGAAATCAGTCAGTTTTCTGTGCTATAGTTCGACCAATCAGATTACATACAAGCTAATTTACTTTGGGGATGTTTGGTTTTCGCTGCCTGACGGGTGGGACTTTTTAAACGACAGGCGAATTGATTTGTTACCAGAATCAAAGTCTTTCGAGACATGACATCCACTCTCGATCTCAGTCCGCTGATTATTTCAAGCAAGCAATTATCTATATTCCAATAATAACATCTGTATTTATGTACACATCAACATCTCGCGTCAAAAACAAAAATATTCTTCAAACATCCAGAGCGGCCTACGCAAAAATGGTAGTAAAATTAGTGAAATATATCAAAAACAAAGTGAAACATCTAGATAACATTCATAATTATAATATTTATAGTATTTAAATAAAAAAATGAGCCTTCTTTAAACATAGGAATCCAACGCTTTGTCGAGCCAAATATTTAAAATGGCATTTTTAAAGTTTTGGAGGAACTGCATTTTATTAAAAATACAGAATATAAGCAGCTTCAACTGAATCTGTGGACTTTTAACACCAAATAATGCATGTTTGTGCTTGTTTATGTTCATTTATACAATTACTAAATGGTAGTCTTCATTAAAAACCTTAAAATATCAACACATTATTTGGTATTTGTGAAAGCAACTCTTATAGGAGTCCACAGTTTCTCTTGGGGTGCGTTTCACTTCCATTAAATGGATTCCTTGCGTCCTTCACTTGCGTCGTTTCCCTGCGACTAGTCCCTCCCTCCAGGGAAGCATGGAGAGACGCAAGGAAACCACGAGAAGCAGGGAAATGAGTTTTAAGAGCAATGGGACGTCGTTTCCTCCGGACCGTCACGTGAAGCGACGTCCGTTTGTGATGACGCCGCACAGCTGATCGCCTCACAGCAGCCAGATCAGTGCATGTGCTGCATCGTCCAATCAGTGAGCGATACACAGTAAGGGGGCGGGGCGAGTGTCTGAGGATTTCACCGGAGGATGGTCTGGTAGTTCCTCCATTATCGCTCCTCGGTCCTCCGGCACAAATAAGGCCACTGGGACGCTACTCAAGATGGCGCAGACAAATCAACTTCCGGTGAGACAGAGACCGAGGAGCGAGGAAATGAAAAATAAGAGAAGTGAAACGCACCCTTGGTGTCTGGATATAAACCTGTAAATTAACATTGTAAAACTGATGGAAACAAAGTGGATCGACCCCAAAAACAGACTCAAAACCACTCAAAAAAATCTTCCTTCCATGTTGAGTTTAAGAGCAGCACCGATGGGAAATTAAAAAAGTGTTTATGATGCGTCGCTTGAAGTTGTTTCCTTTCCATTTTAACAATTAAATTAAAAAATAGCACTAATTATGAGTTGAAAATGAACTGAATCAAGGCTACATTTCAGCCTGACCTTCCTAACTTTTAATCATCAAAATAAAAGACTAATATATTGTATTTTTATCCCAAATTGAAGCTGTCCTTCTTGTTTCACCAGGAAAAAGAACAACTTCAGAGTTTCGAGACGAGGTGTTTTACAGGCGACGCGGCAGCCCTGTTTTTATTTGACTGTACATTTAAACATTCAGATAATACTTGACGCGCTGCCCGGTTTCCATTCATCTGCTCGACAGAGAGGGTGCGCTTGCTTGTTAATCCGCGGCAGCCCAGACGTGTGGAGCCTAACGAGATTAAAACATAATTTGACTTAATAGAAAAACCTATATTTGGTTTGTTTGTGCGTTCAAAGAGAAACAACGGAGGTGAAAAGGAGGGTGATGACTATCAGACGGCTCGATTTATGGAGTAAACATTTCAATTAAAGCACAATTAAAAACAGATTTGAATAATTAATTGCAGTCGTTTACCTCATCTGAACAATTAGATGATTAATAGATTAGTCAATCATCAGAACAATTGATTTTGAAGAGGAGATAATCCAGAAATATACTGAATGTAGCTTTTAATATAATAGCTTTCTTGCTAATATTCTGATTTCTGTCTTTGAACATTTCATATTTTCTTGTTTGTTGGAAAAAACAACTTTGAGAAGAAAATGTTTGCTTTTTTTTGGGCTATTTTTCTGACGTTTGTCCTTTTTATTCTAGTTTTCACAAGCCAATAAAGTATATTTATAATATAGCCGCTGGGAATTCATGATTTAACTATTCGTTGTTGATGAATTTATAAATTGTTCCCTTAAAATGTTCCAGAAAAAGGCCAAAATTTGAAGTGTAAAGATGTAAAACAAGGAAAAATTCAGAAAAATTGTAATTGTGCGCATTTTCATTCCTAAAAACGGACGTTACAACATCAAATTATGAGTCGTTGCCATTGTGAACTTACTATTGTGCTAAATAAAAAAGATTCTGACATTTTAAACTGTCTTCAACCTGGAGTGGAAGCACACTTCGTTAGCTGTTAGCATCACTTAGCATCACGGAGAGATTCAATAGGCGCTTTCACACTGGAGTACTTTTCCCACCAAAAAAATCCGGAACTAGAACTTAGTTCATGAGAACCTTTCCACCCCCTTTTCAGTCCCTGCTAGAGAGCAGGTACTTTCATGGGAGAAAAAGGTTCCCATTTCTGATTGGCTGGGCGGATTGCAAACCACGCCCCGTAAAACTCCCAAAACGTTTTGTGAAGCTGCCATTTTATTTGCTCGCATTAGCATTATTAGCATTAGCATTAGCCCCGCGCACCAACGGAGAGAGACTAACTTATGGCAGAACAAAAAGAAAACATGGGAGCGGTGGAGATGAGGAGGTGTCGGCATTCTGGCGATTTACTCGGAAGGCTTCAGTAGAAGCTGCTGGGAGTCCCAGCAGCTTCTACTGAAGCCAGTCCCCAACTCCGGGGACTTCCGGCCGGGGACTTCGGGTGGCAGTATACGCCGTGAAGTGGTTTGCGGCCTGCCAGTAAACCCAAAGCAGAAGAAGAAGAACTGACGTCAGCGGCTTCATTTGCCTAATCCTCCCTCAGGGACTTATTCCGGTGTGAACACGATCTGCTTTAGTTCATCAGAACTAAAGAGTTCTCATGAACTAAGTACGGCAAAGCACTTGGTGTGAAAGCGCCTATTAACTTTCTAGAGTGAAAAACATGTTATGTAAAGTTCTGACTTCCTTCCAGCGCTGCAGAGAAACACTTCAGCTGGAGTTTAAATTAGTGTCTGATATCATGAGGTTACTGAACTGAACCAGCTGAGTGTGCGGAGGTGTCCAGAAATAAAGCTTTAGCAATGAGGAACAGAAAGGACATAAAAAACATTCAGCCTGAACGTAGTGTGGCAGCTCGGATGTCAGAACGGACTCACAGGAAATTAAAAAAGTGTCTCTGAGTGTGTTGTGTGTAAAAACGGTAGAAATGTGCATTTTCTGGCGTTTAAAAAAAGTCAAAAATGGTAAAAGCTAATCAAATGAAACTGATAAAACAGACTGTGGTTGCTAAAGCCCGCTTGTAGTTTAACGTTGAAACACCTGACGCTCTTTGTTTAATAACTTGTTTTTTCCGCTGTGGCACCAAACATGATAACGTAATGGCACGACACGCCTTAGTTAATAACCTTAAATTTAAACCAGACTCTTTCACTCATGACTTTGCCAGATAGCCTTTAAAAACGTGGACATGGTTGTTAATGTTATGGTTTTTACCAATATCTGATAAAAATATGGAACGAATCGGACGTTTTCTCTGCGATCGACAGAAATAAGGTCCTTTTTTGGATATACGTAATAAAACAGTGCATGCTTCAACTGTACTTTTAGGATAATCTGATTCAAACTAGATTTTTTATATTATTTTTAGTTAAAAAACTAAAATAATGAGCCCCTCGTTAAGATTCCGCACCATCTTTCTGGAGGTAAGGTCTCCCTTCCCCCCCGCTTTTAACACTTAATGTTATTAACACCACTTCCTGTTAAAAACACTGCACACTAGCATCTTCAAGCTAAAGGTAGTGTCCGTGGTTTTATTATTATGACGTCAGATTTATAATATTTTTGGGGGGTTTGAACGCATGGTACCTGCGTGTTAGCATGTAGCTACTTTAGCACGGTATGTTATAAACACAATAAAGAAGACTGTGATGACACGTACGATCCTGCGTCTCGTCAGGAACGGTTAATTGGTTTCTCTGCGTCGTCTCCACAGCCCAAAAAACGGTATCCATGGCAGCCTCTTGGATCCTCGCCCCCCCCCCCCCACCCTGATGCAAAAGCGAGTGTTTTTAGATTATTTTAAGGTGCTTTTTGCATTGTGGGCGCAGAGGATTTGAACGCTTGTGATCCAGGAGGCTGGCATGCTCCCTGCAGACGTCTCACAGCTCCAGTGAAAAGCTCCCCGGATACTTATGTGGGCGGAGCCTGTGGCGGCCATAAGCCCCTCCCCTTTCTGCTGAGTGACAGTCCGTTTAGGGGGTTCACCGCCCGCAGGTTCAGTCTCTGGATTGGTAGAACAGGATGTATCCGGACTCTGAGTTCTTGGAGATGTCCGACGTCAGACCGTAGAACTCCTCGATCGCCTGCGCGTCGATTTTCTACGAGAAAAGAGGAAATAAATAATAATAAATAATAATATAGCACCTTTCATGCACAAAGCAGCCCAAGTCCTTACCTTAGGGTTAGCCCCTGTGTGATTTTTAAGAATTTAAACCACGTCTCCTGCCCCTCAGTACCTGCTGTTGATAAACCTGTAAAACCTGTTAATATTTCCTTGGGGGAAATTCCCGATGTGGCGTTGTCCGGCTTTTTGATCAAAGTGACTTTAAAAAATATATATTTATCTATCTGTGCTTCGGCGGCCGCTGTTCCAACCCTAAACCTAACACTATTCAGATTTGTATTTTAAGTGACTAGTTTAAGAGCATGTGTGTACAAAACATAGCTATGAAAAGATGAATGAATTTCGGTAACGAAGCATACATTTAATTACAGATTTTCTTTTTTCAAGAAAAGAGGAAATAAATTGATGACATTTTAGACATTTAGAGGTGATTTCAGTTGCCACGTCGACATCCTTACCTCAAGTGAGTAGTTTAAGAGCATTCATGTCAAAACCATTAGTCTTATTTCTATGATAAAGATGATTGTATTTGGTAGTAATGCATAGTGACAGATATTCTTCCATTAGTTGAACCTACTAGAAAAGCTAAATGTTATCAAATCCCACAACTTCAAATCGGTTTTCCTCGCACAACCTTCCTATAAAAGACGACATTTGAAGAGGTCTTTGTCAGCACCATATGAAATCCTTCCCTTCAGCTCACAGGTGTTTTCAGATCCTTCTGTTATCATTCTCTACCAAATCTCCATTTAAAATCAAGTATGTTTGTTGGGGAATCATTTGCCCTGCATGTCCTCCTTCGCCCTCTGACGCAGCTGACCAGCATGCCATCTCCCTTAAGGAGGGGCTGCCCTAGCATTTTGTTGTTGTTACTAGGGATGCCAGCGATTATTCGAATATTCGTTACAGTCTCCATAATCGAAGATTATTTTTAAAATTCGATTTTATTTATATATTTTTTTATTAATATTTATGTTTTTCTTTTTTTTCCTGGTTTGGTTTCAACCAAAATATAGACTAATGCTAATAATAGTAATAGTATTAATAATTGTAAATGACCATTGATCACACCACCAGTTTGTTTTACTGTAAACTTGGAGGAAGCCAGCAGCGCAGAGTGCAGACTGCTGCTGCAGCCTGCTACACACCGACCCCCCCCCCCCCCCTCCGTCACATGTGCGATTGATTTATTGGCGACAGAACAGTAACGGTACGTCTACACAGCAGCGTTAAAAAATCTTGGAGGTGGGCGTATCTGAAGCTTGAGGATTTTTTGCGAGCAACCAATCACATGAATCTCCCGCCCGCGACATACGAAGCAAAAAAGCCCGAAGTAAACTGGATATAAACTCCCCAAAACAGGCGAAAACATACCACTGTCTCTGCCACCTCCCTCCATGCCTGGCTCCTCCGGTTTATATCCCAGTAGGTCTGGTCATAAAGCACCGGGTGATTCCCTACCGCTAATTTCTCCTCCATGTTTTGGAATATGAGGAAATGACCTGCGGTATGTCTCTCCCAGCATACACGCCGTTTGATTGGCTAGAGCTTGAACTGTCAGATTTGCGTACACAGGATTTGATTGGCTGACGCTTCCACCTCAGCCTCAAAAGTTGAACATTGCTCAACTTTGAATCCTCAAAATCGAATGTGTCGAATAATCGATTAATATTCGCCAGGGCTGTCCGATTTTGATCATGGTCAGTTTCTGGCATCCCTAGTTGTTACCAGTTTGTGACCGGGCAACTGTCGGTCAGAGATAGTTATTGTTGTGGGACACCTGGAGCATCCTTCTCGGGGTGTAGATACCGTAAGCGACAACAACTGTGATCCAGTGTCCCTCAGCTGTTTAGTGTATCTATTGAAGAATGTTGATTATTACACTCTGAACTAGTTCAAACCTGGAGCTACAGGAGGGGTCTTCAGAATGTGGCATCTCATCCGTGTGGTCAGATCGTGGCCCGTGACGTGTCTTGTGAATTCTCCGGCCGAAGCTCCAAATAAACCGTCAGTGTTTGCCATCAAAGCTCCAGCTCTCCATCGTGTCTCTCTGAGTCCTGACTCCTATTGCTTCAGAAGTTTCCCCCCCACACTATTTAATATCTTGATTCGGCCCCGACAACTGTTTCTGATTTGGTGTGGCAGCTTTGTCCAAAAGAGAAAGCAAATACTATAAATAAATATATATACTTTTGGACTGGTGATGAAAGAGAAGAGGAGAGTCTGCAGATTCGCTTCCAGGTGCAACTTGTATCAAAGTAGAACGACAGATTGGAGGAAGGCGGAAAGCTAGAATACAGCCAGACAGACGGAGAGTTCATCTCCAAACGCAATAAAGAAAACGATCCGGTTGTGTTAGCGGATTCTGCCAGAAATCGGTCCGTTTCTGGACCAGATGTTCCGATGGGCCTCCTTCCCATCATAGTGGAAACATACAGTGGTGAAGACGGTCAGATTTTTAAAGAAGCTATTTCAATTGGGGGAAAGCGCATTTCATCGTAATTAATCTACAGATAAGAATAAATCTGAGTTTAAATGAAGCGTTCTTTCCACGAAATCACTAATAATCCTGTAATCAGACCCACATTATGCACTCCTTACTAGGAAAATAGCCAGAAATCAAGACCCATTAGACAAAAAGCAATCCACAGTATCTGATAAAGATAATAACTCATGTGTTTGGAGGATTTTCTCTAACTTCTTCTGACTTTTATTACATTATATGTCCCAAGTGTCCGGGGTTTTTTGCACCGCAGCTTTGATATATAACTCTGAAATCCTGCTTGTGTCTCTTAATACAAATGACACTCCACAAAACCCCTGGAATGTTTCAGCATCAGGACGGCACGCTCCGATAGCTCTGCTGTGTGGCGTACTGCTGTCTTTAGCCAAAGAAAAATAACAAAAAAAAAAAGATTCTTGGCTGCAGCAGAGGCTTTGACTGAAGAGCGAAAAAAAAAAGCCAACGCTACATACCAGTCAAACTCCACGTCTGAATTCCTACACTTTTTTTTTTACGTGAGTCAGGGTTTGAAAGGAAATGCTGGAAAGGTTCCCTACTTGCACTGAGGCATCATCACATGCTACCAGGATGTCAGACTGTTGTTTCTACGCCATGTTTCTCCTGTCATCGTGTCAGAGGAGAGCAGATGGTTTTATAGCAGGAGTCTCAGCAGAGCCCGACAACTTTATTAGTTATTATTAGTTATATTATTAGTTAGTTATTAGTTATTAGCAGATTATATCTGCTATTTAGAAAGTACTTGTTAGAGCCAGTATTTTTGTTTTTATAAGAAAGGCCACCTAATTGTGACGTCTGTAGTCAACACACTATAAAAGGACTACAATTCCCACGGCGCCTCCTTTAAACCTCAGGAGAAATCACTAAAACTGTGACACAACTTGACCAAATCCAGCTTTTAAAACACAAACACATTTTTATTAAACCCCTTCTCCTGCACTGTTTTATCTCCTATATATATATATTGTTAAAGCCAGTATTTAGTTTTTATAAGAAATGCCACCTAATCGTGACGTCTGTAGTCAACACACTATAAAAGGACTACAATTCCCACGGCACCTACTCTAAACAGTGATGGGCAACCTGCTAGAAAGACCCCGTCGAGACACAGTTTTTAACCGTTCAATTCCCCTTTAAGCTATCAAGTAATATAAGCCGTATCAAGCCAGAAAGAATACCTAAGTTGTTTGTTATTTTATTTTAGCTTTGCCTATTTGTTTTGACTATTGTAAAGGCTTCTTTTCTTTGTTGCATGTATAAAAGTTTGTGTTTTTTATTTCGAGCAAACACATCGCATAATGTCATCCAAACCATCGGAGGCCAAGCAACTCAAGCAACTGTGAGTAATATAATCAGGGTATATGCAGGAATCCTGAAGTCAAATGTAATCCCTTTTAAGACCTTTTTTAAGACCCTTTCCATACATTTTAAGACCTCATCACCACTTTGAGTTCTAACCGGTTACATTGGCGACACACTTTACCTCACATTGACTATATACAGTATTGATTGTCCTTCCTCCTTATCTTCCAACCATTTGGACGCAGACTTGCATTTCCCCATAACGATGTTGCTTAACAACCGGCGTAAACGGACCTTTGCGCGCTATCAAGCAGTGAGCGTGCGATGTCCTGTTCAGATGACGTCAAACCCAACGGGATGCCATAAATAAACTACACAGAATCACACTACACACCTACGCAATGATTACATTCAGGCAGACTGTAGAATACAACCTGTTTGGACAATTCATATACTTATTGAAAACAAGCTACAAAATGTAATACCTTGGAAAATGCCCTTTAATACTTTTTAATAGCCTTCATTTTCGCTACATTTATTTATCAACTTTTAATACTTTTTAAGACCCCGCGGACACCCTGTATCAAGGAAAGAAAACGAGTTAGAAATGTCTGTTTAAGGCGTCTAGTGGCTTGATAGAAAAACAAGGAAGGAAGCCACGACAGTACTTCTCAACTGAAAGGCAGTTACAAAATACCAAGAGTTGTCGTAGCAAAGGAGGTAGGTGTAGAAGTAAATGAGGTAGAAGAAGACGTGGTAGAAGTAGAAGAACATATGTCATTACAGGGAGAACTGAAGCTTTGATTGAGGGGGGAAATATGCCAGAAAAAGAGTACATACATTATTCTAATTCCAGATTTTACCCACAATGCTTCAGGCTTTGCTTCATCTGCTTATGAACACTTTGATCCACCCTCATGCTTCTGTGATTATATCCTGATTGATAAACCATATTTATCCTATTATTATTATTATTATTATTAAGCAAACGTTCAGGTATCTCGATCCGCCGATTGAAGGAAATCCAGATGTATTTTCGGGCTGATGCGTGAGTTTTTAAGGCTTCAAATTCAATGTAAAGTTATGCCGATGCTTATTTTTAAACACATGCGGTTGTGGAGAAGAAAGAGGAAGTGTTTCTCTCACCTCTACGATGTCGTCGTCGAACAGCAGCCAGAAGCCGTGGCTCTTCACGATCGTGATGTAGTGTCCGCGGTTTGGACCGCTGCAGAGAGGAAGAGGAGGAGAGAGGAAGAGGAGGAGAGAGGAACATCGTGAGAATAAACCCTGGAATACAGCGCTGTCACTTTGTTTGAGAAGTATGAATAAACTATTGTGTCTTGGAGTGGAGAGGACTTTGTTTTTTTAAATAAATGAATGAATTACAGCAACTATGCTTTCTGGCATTTTAGCAAAACGGAAAAAATAAATAAAAATATCAATGCTATAAGTGTAAAGCTAGATGAATGTACTTTTAGAAAAGTCAGACATCAAGTCACATGACAGTGTGACTGATGGGATAACTTCATAAAGGCAAATAGTTAACACATTCAATTATAAGAAGGCAATCTGACATGTAACTATTTTTATAGAAATGACTGAAAAATGGTTTTAAGGGATGTGATTTTTGGTAAAATTCGTCAAGTAAAATGATTTATATAATTTTAATATAGCATTATTTTCATTTACCAAGTGACTTGCTGATAAATTGATTGACAAATATATATCAGATTATCCTGGCTGACTAATGGTTGTATTCAAATAAAAAAATGTCTGTTTACTAAATAACAAAGTTAATCATTTTTTTACTGTTAAATAAGGTTCAAGGTTCAAGGTTCTTTATTGTCAAACTAATATAGCTACAGAGTAATTATGTCGTTGAAAATCTTAGGTCACAGGCTTCTCCAACAATGCAACATAATAATACAGATATACAAATAAATATAGTTATTTATTTATATTTATATAAATAAACCAAATTGTCAATTAAAAAATCAAATTGAAATCTGATAAATTGAGCAAATGTACACAAGCCACTACAGGTTCAGGTTTGACGGCAGAGGATCAGTGACAGTGATCAGGTTTTATGCTTCCACACATAATAAAGTCTGTTATGCATCTAACCCTAACCCTAACCCACAATGTCCAAGACCATTTAAGTCCATAACAATGTATACATGACTCCTTCAAAAGCAAACTGAAAACCCATTTCTTCGTATCTGTCTTCCTTGTAAACTAATTTCCATCACCGAGTTTCATCATTAGCATCACTTCAGTCACATGCTTTCATCACATGGCAATACGTATGTTGATGTATAATGTTTTTATCATTTGTATATACAGTAAAACATGGACAATGATAGTAGTGAGAATTGAAAGTTAACCCAAACTAAAAGTCATATTACAAATATTTTTTTTTTTGCTTTTAAAAATGTTCAGGGCATTTCTTATGATTTGGGGCTATAATACATTTTGATTTGATTTGATAAATAAAGTTAAAAAGAAGACCCCCCATTACCTGCCGCAGTGCACCACGACGGCCACCAGGTCGTACATGCGGTCGGGGTTGGTGGCGTCCCCCGAGGTGTTGAAGAGGCGGAGCTCCAGAGGGAAGACGACCCGATAGGACAGCTTGGTGTAGCGGTGCAGCTGGTCCATGTACTTGAAGCGCTTCAGGTGGAGGGCGAGGATCATCGGGAGCTTCTTCACCCTCATCCTGACGAAGAGGCGGAGATATGGAGAGACCATTAATGTCAAACACACTCACAAGAAGTTGTATGGAACATTTAAGTCAGTTGAAATGAACAGGAGGGTTTCACACAAAGGTTATTTTAAATCGGTGCTAAATCTGTGAACACTTGTGTGGTTAAAGCAAGAACAACCCAGTCAAACAGTTGGTGTGTGCTCCCCCCTTTTGATCAGCGTCGCAAACCAAACACCCACAAAACAAAAAGACATGATTGCATTTCTAAAAGGACAGGACTACATTTATAATACTGCAATTACTGTATTAGTTGATAATGAAAAGTTAACATTATGTAATCAAACAAGCGAGTAGATTAATTTTTTTTTTTTAATAGGATGTTTTTAGGTATTTTAGTAAACTCCCTGATCAATTTGAGCAACTTGAACCAATTATGAATTTTGACGGGACATTTTTACAGTATATGAATATAAAAATGTTGTAATAATAAAGAAACCCACCTCTTCTGGGCTTCCTGTTTGCTGCGACACTGCTCACAGTAGTATTTGTATTCACTGCATAACGTCTCTGTGTTGCTGAAGCCTCTGTTAGGAAAACAAAAAACACACATTTACCACCAGGGTGTAAAAAGTCAAAGTTATTACAGGGTATATGCAGGAATCCTGAAGTCAAATGTAAGACCTTTTAAGACCTTTTTTAAGACCCTTTCCATACATTTGAAGACCTCATCGCCACTTGGAGTTCTAACCGGTTACCTTGGCGACACACTTTACCTCACATTGACTATACACAGTATTGATTGTCCTTCCTCCTTATCTTCCAACCATTTGGACGCAGACTTGCATTTCCCCATAACGATGTTGTTTAACAACCGGCGTAAACGGACCTTCGCACGCTATCAAGCAGTGAGCGTGCGATGTCCTGTTCAGATGACGTCAAATCCAACGGGATGCCATAAATAAACTACACAGAATCACACTACACACCTACGCAATGATTACATTCAGGCAGACTGTAGAATACAACCTCTTTGGACCATTTATATACTTATTGAAAACAAGCTACAGAATGTAATACCTTGGGAAATGCCGTTTAATACTTTTTAATACCCTTCATTTTCGCTTAATTGATTTATCAACGTTTAATACTTTTTAAGACCCCGGGGACACCCTGTATTATACTTTCCATATCAGGTGAGGATAATAATAAAGGGTTAACAGGAGCAGTGTATACCTGAGACAGTGTGTGATGGAGGTGTTCTGCTCCACGTCTACAGACAGATCCAGGAAGTCTTCGTCTTTACTGCTCACCTGAAGCGTGGAAAGATACCCAATTTAAAATGGTTTCTCGTAATCAAAAGCACAAAAAGACAGTTTTTTGCAAAGCAGCATCTCCAGCCAGGTAAACATGTAATCTTGAGGTCTTACGAAAGTGTTTCCCATCTTTGTTTTAATGTCATAATGTCAGTATATCTTGAGTCTGGGTTCAGAAGTTAATTTAATGATACCATGTGTCACCTGAAGCGTGGGAAGACACCCAATTATTTCTCGTAATCAAAAGCAGAAAAAGTCAGTTTTTTGCAAAGCAGCAACTCCAGCTAGGTAAACATGTAAAATAAGTATTCTTAAAGTCTTATAAAAGTGTTTCCGGTCTTTGCTATAATGTCAAAATGTCAGTAAATCTTGAGTCTGGGTGAAGCTGTTGATTAATGAAACCATGTGTCATGTGTAGTTATTACATTATGGACAATTATAACTACATTTAAGGTGTTTTCAACTCTTTAAAAATACCACTTTAAGCCAAGTTTAAAACCAACGTGCTCTTGTTTTTGTGCACTAATCGATCCTAAAGTGAGATGCAGAGTTAATCCCGGGTCAAAAGCACTTTAAAAAGTATTGATTATATAATCTTCACTGATTGTTATATCATGTAAAATGTCTGTTTTCTTGTTTCTTGTCTTAAAAATACCTGTTTTTTTAAGTTGCTGGAAGAAAAAAGTCAGACTTGATCCGACAAAGTATTTTATAGTATCAGAAAAACTAATAAATGTGCACTAACTTCTATAAATACGCAATACAAATCATGATAAAAGTAACTTTTGAGGTGTTATATTGTGTGTTCCTCATAGTAGTTAAGAATTGAAAACCTCAAGGTAAAAAGATCATTATTTAAATCCCGAAGTTTTAAATCAACACATTTTTCAGTTTTCTTGCCTTAAATATCAGTGTTTTTTTTAAGTTGCTGCAAGAAAAAAGTCAGACTTGATCCGACAATGTATTTTATCGTATCAGAAAAACAAATACATAACCAAATATGCACTAACTTCTATAAATACGCAATACAAATCATGGTAAAGACATTTTTCTGTTTTCTTGCCTTAAAGTGGACCTATCATGCTATATTTGAATAATATAGTGTAGGACCATACCTATATAAGGCATATTTATACTTTTTTTTTTTCAAAATACCAAACAGATCATGCATTTTAGCCATGCCTCATCTCGCTCAATTTGACATTTTTTAGCTCTGCTCTGCAAGGGCTGATTCAGTGAGAACAGCACCATCTAGAGGCCTGGCATATGTACTACAGCGTCTCCAGCGCTTTCGAACGGCAATGGCCGTGGCTGTGTCCTCCTGATTGGTGGAGTTGGCCCAATAGCCGTAGCGCCACCGTCCTGACGTCAGGACAGTGTTCAAATCTGGATCAGTTTTTATCAGATCCGTTGCAGCCCCTTTTTTAGAGATTTGGGTATGGAGGAAAATAGAGAGGGTTGTGTTTTCTGACACTTGGTGAGTTCCCTGGAACACCGGGGACACATATTCATGTATAAAAGACGTACCAAAGTGCATTTTGCATGATAGGTCCCCTTTAAATATTAGTGGGTTTTTTAAGTTTCTGCAAAAAAAAAAGTCAGACTTGATCCGACAGAGTTAAATAACAAATAAATGTGCACTAACTTCTATAAATACACAATAAAAATCACGATAAAAGTCACTTTTTAGGTCTTAGGGTGTGTTCCTCATAGTCGCTTAGAATTGAAAACCTCAAGGTAAAAAGATCATTATTTAAACCCCCAAATAGTTTGAAAATCACACATTTCTTCCAGCGTGTCACTCACAGCTTCACAGTTGAGGCAGCGCGTCTCATTGGTCAGCGTTCCCTGGAAGATCTCGTGAACCCAGGTCTGTTGTGTTTCCTTGACTCCTTCCCCCTCTCCTCCTCCTCCTCCCTCACTTCCTCCTCCCCCTCCTCCATTCTGCACCAGTTTCCCGTTCTGCTGCCTCTCCTGGCTCTTCTCCTCCTGCAGCAGGTCGGCGATGGTGTTGAGGAGGTAGTTGAGGAACTCGTGGGCGTCCTGCTGCATGTAGTTATCAAACAGCTCTGAGGAGGCAGAGATACAGACAAAAAGGTAAGAGAAATAAAAAAAAATTGTCAATTTATGGAACATGTCAGAAACAAAACGTAGATGAGAGTAACACCTACGTCACTTCCGGGCAAAAATGACGGCTCCGCCCACTTTTGGGGGAAAACAACGCTGCCATTTGAATGGCGGTCAAAACTAATTCTGAAGTTTTTGTCAATCCGATCAGACATTTTTGAAAACCGTGGATTTTTGGATCTTCAAAGAGCCCGATTGCATTCCCAAACAATGACATGAAATCATTTGAAATCGACAATCGGGCTTTTTAAAAAACGTTCAAGGTGCAAAAAAACATTCAAGGTACAAAAAAATAAAAATTCTCAAATAGTCTCTGGGTGTTTCTCAATCTCGAGGACGCTTCCTTGGTAGGACATGTCTTCCGAGTCAGGTCCTTCAGAAGCGAGGCAAGAATCCTTCCTAGCCTCGGAAAACGAAGAATGGTGGAACAGGCTAACAGGTGTGCGTCCTATGCGAGGGCCACGCCTTAAATGGAGTGCGATTTCCGCCAAAGATTTTGGAAATTGGTCCGTGCGCAAAGCATTGTGGGGGATTTTAAGACCGTGGAGGATATACATGTGCAGTCTCGAAATTTCATGCAACGAAGTACGCCGGTCTCTGTAGAATTCCAAGTATGCTTGACATTGGAACAGTCCTTCGGCGGGACTCGATGAACAGAGAGTGGAGAAAGAGAAGACAGAAAATAATCAGCATGTGTTGGCCGGAGAAATCGCTCCAATTAAGACCGGTTTTTATCTTCCCTCCGCAGGATTTGGCGACAGCTTTATTTCCTCAGCTGTGAGATTAACGTGTCAGCTCAGATATGCCCTCCCTCTCTTCCTCTACTTCTCCTTCTTTCCGGCTCATCCCTTTCTCTCTCACTCATTTCAGATTTGAGAGCCTAACCCCCCGGTGGTGGATTGATGTTGAACACCCGGTGAGGAAATGGGGTTTGAGTTCCTGAAAGAAGCGACAGCTGCACATCCTGGCATCGCTGTGAAGCCGAAACCTTCCCCAAAATGCTTATTATTAGTCATTTAAAAAAAGCTGGAAGATATTTTTCTACTTTACTTGCAGTGCAATATCATACTGTAAAGATATCGAGAATTAACATGGTATTAATATGAAATATGCAGGGTTATATTGTAATTTACATGGAATATATACAGCATTTTTTTATTACATTTTTAATTGCACATTTTACTCTAACCTCTTATATAAATATCTGTATATTATGTAATCTTTGTATTGCACATTTGTACTATTATTTAAACAAATATTTTGATTATATTACATTTTTTAATGTTCATTTAACTTTTAAAATGTATTTAAATATCTTTATTTTATTTAATCTTGTATCTATATATAGCACAATTACTTAAACATATATACATATTTGTAATATATATATTTTCTTATTTATATGTTTGCTTTATTTCATTCTTAATTCAAGCAGCTCTCACAAAACCCAATTATAATTCTGATATTTACCATTTTCTTTTCTCAGTCTGGAGATGAATTTCTTGGGAGGGATGACCCCGACTTTCTTCTTCTGCGTGGCGATGCTGTTGAAGAGGTCGGAGAGGCAGGTGAGGAGAGACTCCTTACGACGAGGCTGCACCTGGAGGAACAACAACTTTATTTATAATGCTTCCATACAAGTCCTAACGTCAGAGATGGCAAAAGTACACACATCCTTTCCTCAAGTAGAAGTACAGATACTCGTGTTTAAAAATACTCTGGTAAAAGTAGAAGTACTGACTAAACTTCTTTACTCAAGTAAAAGTAAAGACTTTGAAATGTACTTCAGTAAAAAGTACCCATAACTAGCAGCTGTTTTAAAGAGTACCTGACCTCCCTTTATATTAATAGAACAATAATGTCATTGTTAGCTAATGAATGTTTCCATGCTGAACAACGGCAACATGACAACGTTTTCATTGGTCCCTCTTCTTTAGAGAAGACCAGGAAATGATGGATACACGGATCGTGTTCAAATCAATAGGCACGCAATGACTCTAAATAATAATGATCACGCCACCAAACACACATTCAGACTAAAGGAACCAGCCTGTTTGGAAAATGTGAGAAGTAGAAAGTACAGGTATTAGTGTTCAACATGTAAGAAGTAGAAAGTACAGGTATTTGTGTTCAACATGTAAGAAGTAGAAAGTACAGGTATTTGTGTTCAAAATGTAAGAAGTAGAAAGTACAGGTATTTGTGTTCAACATGTAACAAGTAGAAAGTACAGGTATTTGTGTTCAACATGTAAGAAGTAGAAAGTACAGGTATTTGTGTTCAACATGTAAGAAGTAGAAAGTACAGGTATTTGGGTTCAACATGTAAGAAGTAGAAAGTACAGGTATTTGGGTTCAACATGTAAGAAGTAGAAAGTACAGGTATTTGTGTTCAACATGTAAGAAGTAGAAAGTACAGGTATTTGGGTTCAACATGTAAGAAGTAGAAAGTACAGGTATTTGTGTTCAACATGTAAGAAGTAGAAAGTACAGGTATTTGGGTTCAACATGTAAGAAGTAGAAAGTACAGGTATTTGTGTTCAAAATGTAAGAAGTAAAAAGTCTTCAGAAAAATAAGTAGTGGAGTAAAGTACTGATACCAGGAAAATGTACTTAAGTACAGTAACAAAGTATTTGTACTCCACTACTTCCCACCTCTTGTCCTATATCATTGAAGAAGGATTGCATTCTTTAAGTGTGTGAACCCAGCACACCAACAACAATATATATTGTATATTAAGAATATCAGCAAAATATAACTCATATTCTGGATTTTTTAACACTTTTTTGTTTACTAGATAATTCCATGTGTTATTTTATAGTTTTGATGTCTTCAGTATTCATCTACAATGTAGAACACATTAAAATAAACTTCGAATGAGAAGGTGTGTCCAAGACTGGTAGTGTATATACATACTTAAATATATTTACATGTATGTGTGCCGGTAAAAAGCTAAATTGTGATACAGCTATGGTATCAGAATAACTTTATTAGTCCCACAGAGGGGACATTTGTTACAGCAGAAAAGAGCCAAAGACAGCTTAGTGTTACCTAAGAAGCATGCATAAAAATCTCACCTTGTACGCCAACACCTTCTCTCTGAACGGCCGACAGAAATACAGCGCCTGCAGCACTGAGTTACAGTAGCAGGTGTTTCCAAACTGGAGAACGAAACACACAGATTCAGGATTTAAAGAACTACATGTTACAGTTTACATCACGGGTGTCCAAACTGTTTTCACCGAGGGCCACATACAGACAAATATACGAAGGGCTGGGCCGCTCACTAAAGTCAAAGTCAGCTTTATTGTCAACATGTCTAACGTGTGTTATACATACAGACATCTTGAAAGACCGTTTCTCGCAGTCCCACAGTGTGACACATATACATTAAACAAGATACATAGATAAACGGGGTATAAGACTGAGTAATAGTGGTAATAAGTACTAAAAAAACACAATCCACAGAACATTAATTGACGTTAATGCAAGTATTTTTTTGTGCAAATGAGAAAATGATGTTTAAAGTACAGTTTCAATTCAGCAGCAGCGGAGATGGGGAGAAAAGTGACTGGTGCTGGATGAGGGAAGGCTGTGTGTGTGAGAGGTATGTTGCCTCAGTTCAGTTAGAAGTTAGCTAAACCAATCAGATGTAGGTGAATGATGCTGCAGCCTACATGACAGCTCTCCAGAGGGTTTCATTTATTTTGTTGGCAGCTCATTCCTTAAAACAAAAGCCTCAGTTTGATTATAATAAGAGGAAATGTGAAGGGTCTATTTCAAGGTTGTTATGTAAATAAGTTATTGGGCTTTTTTCTAATCAACTTAGATTTGTTAGAACATATTTTCAACTTGAATTGACTGACAGTGGTCTTATGAACACATGAACACTACTGTGTAATATATGTTTACAGATGTATTTAAGAAGTACAAGACAAGCTCAAGTTTCATTTGTGGGTCGTATTCCATTTTACTCTTTGAAATAGCTGATGGCCGACTCAAAATGGCCGTAGCTTGGACACCCCTGGTTTACGTCATCCACGAGCTGTTGATTAACACTTACGTTGACCAATCCAAAGTAGTGTTCATTAACGGGAAACTGTTCCGGTCCGATCTCCTTTTCCAAGGCAGAGGCATTGGCGCCCTGAAAGGAAGAAGAAGAAGAAGAAGAAGAACTATCATATGCTGTGTTTTCAAAGCAAAATGGCACAGCACAGCAACACTTATTTTACATAAAACGATCCGTCTGAATCGCTCCTTTGTCCCGATGTTTCCTCCTCATTGTTTCCTGTTCTCTCTGTTGAATTCAACCGTGTGTTTGGTGCAGCTGTGCTTCCTGCTTTATTTCCTCCATTTGGAGATTTACAGGCATCTTTGTGATAAAAACGTTAGATATTTTATCATCAAAGTTTTACCAGATTTAGTCGAGAAATCTTCCAAGTCTCTCTTTTTTTAGCAATATTCACCTTGATGAACAGTGACTGGTGGTCTATGTCTTTCTTCTTTATACATACACATCATTATGCAAACATAAATAACATACAATATGCCAGATATATCCCAGGACATGTGACAGAGTTTGTTACTAAAAAGGTCACTTCCTGATTTTGCAATGCAGAAAAAAAAGATACCGCCCGCAGCTCAGCTATGAAAATAAGTTTAAAAACAACAACAACAAGCTGTAGGGGCATTGTTTGATACGAGTGCAAACACATGAATATTCCATCCCTCACATACTTGTGTATATATAATACCTTGCTTTATATCTTGTTATTGTTCATTTGTAAATTCAACATGTATCTTTTCTACTTTCTTGTTTATTTCTAGTCTTTTTTATTTGTATTGTACAGTGCCATGTCTTTTTATGCTGCTGCAACACAAACATTAGGCGCTTTCACACCAAGTGCTTTGCCGTACTTAGTTCATCAGAACTCTTTAGTTCTGATGAACTAAAGCAGATCGCGTTCACACCGGAATAAGTCCCTGAGGGAGGATTAGTCAAATGAAGCCGCTGACGTCACTTCTTCTTCTTCTGCTTTGGGTTTACTGGCAGGCCGCAAACAACTTCACGGCGTATACTGCCACCCGGAGTCCCCGGCTGGAAGTCCCCGTAGTTGGGGACTGGCTTCAGTCGAAGCTGCTGGGACTCCCAGCAGCTTCGACTGAAGCCTTCCGAGTAAATCGCCAGAACGCCGACACCTCCTCATCTCCACCGCTCCCATGTTTTCTTTTGTGTTGCCATAAGTTAGTCTCTCTACGTTGGTGCGCGGGGCTAATGCTAATGCTAATAATGCTAATGCGAGCAAATAAAATGGCGGCTTCACAAAACTTTTTGGGAGTTTTACGTGGTTTGCAATCCGCCCAGCCAATCAGAAATGGGAACCTTTTGTCTCCCATGAAAGTACCTGCTCTCTAGCAGGGACTGAAAAGGGGGTGGAAAGGTTTTCATGAACTAAGTTCTAGTTCCGGATTTTTTTGGTGTGAACGAACATTTTCTGAACTATATCGGAACTATACTGGGAAAAGTACTCCAGTGTGAAAGCGCCTATTGTCTCTTGTTTTTAAGAATGTGACTCTTAGTGGCACTTTGTGATTTTGACGCTATTTAAGTGAAACAATGCCGTTTCGTCAACTTAAAGGATTTTTGCTTGTTTCTTGTACACCACACTTATCATAAATAAACTTTAATACATGAAACACTTGGAAGACAACTGGTAGAATATGAAGCAGTATGTAAGGAATTTGTTTTCTTTCATGGCAGTTTGTGTTTTTAAGACTGGAGACAATGCAGTTTTGAAAATTTTACAGATTTGTGCTTAATTCTCTCAAAAAGTTACTGAAAGATAGACTTTTATGAATAAAATCTTAAAACTGGAAAATGTAATATCTTATTTTATGTATGGTACCTATATGTGTGAATAAGTGTGTGTTTTCAAGTCTCTTAGTCATCATAAAACGTTAGTATTCTGGGTCATTTATGATACGAGTGCACATCAGTATAATAGCATGCATGGTAGGGCTGTGCGATTATGGCAAAAATCCTAATCACGATTATTTTGGTCAATAATTGATATCACGATTATTAAAAACGATTATCCATTTACTTTGAAAACATCTATTTATTGAAACAAAAATGTGAACAGTATGTTTTTAACAGTTGATTACCCTGAACTTTAAGTATAATTCAACTGAAAAACCACAAAAAAAAAAAAAAAAATTAAATAATAATTACATTTTTTTTTTTTTAATAAAAATAATAATCGTTTTATTTCGATTACGTTGTTTTCGTAATCGTTGTAAGCCAAAATCGTAATCGAGATTAAAATACGATTAATTGCACAGCCCTAATGCATGGTACCTACATGTGTGAATAAGTATGCGTTTATAGGTCTTTTAGTCGTCATAAAACGTTGAGCTTCTGGGTGTCATTCAGTCTAAGCTTCTAGAAATCTAATCCTGTATAAAAGGCAGGACTGAGAGGAAGAAGATGATGATGAAGATGATTCAGCTTTTCCTCCAGGCGTGAATGACTACACACTCAGATGTTACTCATCAGCACACTGCAGTCCATGTAAAGTCAACAAGACGAGAGCAAATGAGGCTCGGCTCGGGTTATTTCTCTTAACAACACGACGTCCACTCCGAACACCACATCGTTGTAAACAAATACCAAGGCAAGCTTTCTAATGTCGGAAACAGAGAGGGAAGCAAATCATCTGTCTGGGAAAAGAGATTTGTTGAACGTGTAAACACAAACGCTTGAAGTGATTTTCAGGTTTGTAGTGACAGCTTTGAAAAGACTGAACTGATGGAAATGAAAGTGCCAGCTGTGCAGCTTTAGAGGAAATAGACTTCAGACAGAAGGGCGACACGACTGGATTGTTATATTTATTGATGATGACTATCAATCTATTCTAGAGCAAGTCATGATGAAAAGGACTTGATTGATGTACATCTCAACATATTTGCTTCCAAATTACCTTTTCTTTCTGATTTGAAGAAGGCACATCCTTGTATCTTTAAGAAAATAAGCCGTACAACAATGTAAAATCTGTATGAAATGAGAAGAATTATGAATACTGAAAGCTTGTGGTGAGACAGTTGTGTAAACTGTTGTTTTTAATATCAATAACTAACAGGGAACTACCTTTAAGTGCTCATAAAATGTTTAAATTGAAGTTTAACAATGATATGAGAACGGCGCAATTCCTTACGACTTCCTACAAATCCTTTAATACTTAATGAGACTTTTTGTAGTTTAAAATGTGGCCTATAAACAGTAAGTTAGCCTAATTTGAACATAAAGAAAATTGGATAAATGTACTTTTAATTAGGAATATCCTGCGCACAACCACCTGACAGTTTTTGATACCCAAGGCTACAAACCCATATAAGTTGATATAAAAAAAGTATTCAGGATCAATACTTAATAGAAGCTCAATTCAAGTATTTTTGCATCATCATCTGTGATACTGGCTACCGTGATATAACTATAGCGTATGCTGTCTTTGATGCAGAATTGCTGTAAACTGATAAGACTACACTTTCACAAGACAGTCAAAAGTGGAATAAAAACTGCGTGTCTCTATTTTTCTTGTCTAAAAACATCAGCATTATTCCCCTGAATGCTGCTACATTATTAAAGCTGTCCAGTTGTAGTTTGTGCCGCCCTAACAAGGACTTTCACAGCTTCAACAGTGGAATTGATTTTGTGAAATACTTTCCGGGCAGTACCTGGTCGACTGCCAGAAACAGAGTGAACAAAGCCACCAGGGACAGCTAATATTTAGCTTTGATACTGTTTGTCTAGTAGCTGCTGGTAATCTGCCACAATGATGCTGGCCTTCACACTAAAAGGGTAACAAGGCCTGGGTTGCAGTCGAATAGTCCAAAAATCAGCTCCTAAGTTCTAACCCTATCGTCTATTCCTTGACCTCAGAGTGAAACGTCACGGGGTTAAGGGATAGTGGATAGGAGAATTCAAAAGGACTTAGGAGAAGAGACTGCGGTACTTTAGAGAATCCGACTGCACTTTCACTATCCGACGTGTTTATGATGCGCCAGCAGAGGTCATAAATGTGCGTCTGCTGCTGTGGGGAAACTATGGAAACTACAGTTTTCTATACAGCGGACTACAACATGGATGTTTAATAAGAACGAGGGACTACTGTAAACTCATCTAGAGACTCTGCACCGTGCTCTGATGCTGTTGTGCTTTATGAACGGGGACAACAGAGAAACATATTCTTCATGACCAAAGTTGGAATTGAAATAAAAAAGGAAAGTGAAACTTATGCTCGTCACCCTCTCCCTCCGGTCCACATTAATACAAATGATCCCAATACGTATGATTGTATGAAAAGATCTTAAAATCAATACAAATGTATTTATTATAAACGTTAGTCCTTAACATCTAGCACTGTGTATATCACCATTCAAACATTGCTGCAGCCGCAAGGCATTGTGGGGCTGCATGTTCTCCTCTCCTTTCGTAAAGTGATTTTAAAGTGTACCATGCATGCTATTATACTGGTGTTCACTCGTATCATAAATGACCCAGAATACTAACGTTTTATGATGACTAAGAGACTTGAAAACACCCACTTATTCACACATATAGGTACCATACATAAGATAAGATATTACATTTCACAGTTTTAAGATTTTTAAAGTGGTTCCTAAGCTAAAGGAAGTTTGAAACCTCCTTTCCTATCATCTAGACTTGGAACGGCACTTATCATGGCTGCCACTGACGTACTTCCGGGTCATTTCACTCCGTTAGGACGGTTCCTAAGCAAAACGGACTATTCGACCGCAACCCTGGTGTGTGGTCTTTAAAAACCTGCATGTAGAAACCACACTGGCTAAGTAAAAGCTTTCCGTTTCCAGCATATATATCAGTAGCAGACTGCAAATTAAACCTGAACTTTTGAAAGAACATCCATAACATTCATCTGTTTGCAACTCATATATATCAATATTCCAATGACTTTATACAGACTATTCTGCACTGTTTCTATTTTATTGTATTTACTTGTACTATTTCATCTGTTGTATTGTGTTGCACTGTTGGAGGAGACTGTGACCTAAGATTTTCATTGTCATAACTACACTGTAGCTATATGCACACATGACAATAAAAGCCTTGAAACTTGAAACTTAAAAGACTGCAGTAGTATGTATACTGTGAAAGGTGCAGCGGCAGGAAACAGGATAAATTACAGTCAGAAGTTAATCTCAGGGATTTAAGCTCACCTGCGTGTTTGTGTGTGTGTGTGTGTGTGTCTTAACTACGCTTCAAAATAAACAAACACTGGGCGGTCACATTAAGAGCTAATGAAGCCGTGTTTTGACCTGTTTCACCTTGACCCTATATGCCTAACAGGTTGTCCTTTAAACTGAAGAATCTGTGCTAAAGCTGAATGTTTACAAGCGTCTATCAGCTGATGGTGTTTTTGAGCAAAGCTGACCGTCACCTCCTAGTTTCTGTTCAGGGATCAATACTTTTAAACATCATTAAAGCCTTTTAAAATGCCATTTAGAGGCAGAAGACGGCTAAAGAGCGCCTTCTTTAAAAGCGTGTGCAGAGCTTAATACACAGGTGAACTAAAGGAACTAATATCTTAGGTTTAAATTAACCATCTTGTATTTACTGTAAGTTTATATTAACACCATATAGGCTTTTATAAATGAAAGGGTTTGTTGTTATTAGAGAAGCAAAACTACAACAACAGCCATTATTTACAGAGGCAACATCAGGGTGTAACCCATGACAGGAAATGCTGGGTTTCTCCATCAGTTACAGATAATTGACAGATAATGTCCGCTGAGGAAGTACTCAGATGTTGTACTTAAGTCAAATATCATCATCATTAACATATATTTAAAGTACCAAAAGTAAAAATACTCATTATGCAGATTGTCTAATATATATGATATGTTCTTATTATAGTAATAGATGCATTAAAGTGTTATCAAAGCTGCAGCTAGTTTTAATTACTTTGTATACTGCAGGGTAGCTTGTGAATTTACACCAGAACTAAAGTCTGATTTAAGAGTTGATTATATTTCACATCATTCATCCAAATCTGGAAAGTAACTAAAGGTATTCAATACATGTAAAGGAGTAAAAAGTACACCATTTACCTCGGAATTTTAGTGGAGTAGAAGTACAGAGTAGCATAAAATGGAAATACTCAAGTACTTAAATGTACTCATTTACTTTACACCACTACACCTGATAATTTAACTATGCAGATGATAACCTATTAATTCCTCTTGTATGTGCAAAAGGTATATACACGTAGCTTTTACAATAAAGGGAATACAAGTTAGGATTAGCATACAACAGTAGAAAACAACTTTGTCTTTTCAGCTAGCATGCTAAGCTAGCTAGTTTCGCCCTTCTTGCATAAACAAACTACAAGCTGGCTAATAATTAACAGTCAAACAAGCTGTGTTTTTACTCTGTTTTCAAACTAAACCAGTGGAGTTAGGAGCTGACTGTTAACAGGCTACAACTTTCTGGAAAACCCTGAATGTTATTATTATCATGTTAGCAGAGACGCTAGCTTTAGCTCAGCCATGGTTGTATAAAGAGAGAGAGGTGGATTCACCATTCATTCCTATGAGAGTTGCTCAGTGGCGGTTGAAGCCTAGATTAAAACTGTAGATTCAGAAAGTACCCGGATGCAGGCCCACAGAGCATGCGCAGTAGAGTTTTCCCTTAAGCCCCGCCTTCTATCCTCCTGCTCTCGGCTCAGTCAAACGAATGGATGTAAAATGTGTACACTATTATACATTTTCTTAAACCTAAAGATGTTCATACAGCCCTTGAAATTATCCTTATTAAATCAAAAATGACTCTGAATTCGGCTTTTCAGCACATTTTGCAACTGTTAAACCCCAATGATGCAAATAATATCTGTAAAATCTCAACAAAATAAAAATACGCTGATTTACAGATGTCACTTTCCTCAATGTAAGTCAATGGGGAAAAGTGTTTTAGGGCCAGAATGACGTCACGGGTGTGGTAGTGACACATTTTCGCCACCACGGCCATTCATAAAAAAATCTGCTTCAACGGCCGGCCACTTCCTGGAGGTTTGGGGCTAACAGGCGAACAAACACTAACATTAAGGCCGAAAATCAGCTCCTTACCATCGTACAAATCGAGGCGATCTTTCGGACTGTCATCAGTATTTCCATCCGTAAGCCGCCATGCTGGACCGAACCCCGATGTTGAAATTAAGAGAGCCGTGAAGGCTGCAGAGTTTCTGGAGAACCGTTTGCTTTCTGCCCGGTCTGTTACCATTACAGAGTAGTAACCACCACTTCCGCTTTTGGGATTTCAAAATAAGACACCAACTGGAGAAAGAAAATGAATGTGAATTTTTGTTTTGTTATTAATCTTATTCATTTATATATAAACGCTCATGTTAATTGTATTACTGATATACTTAACAACGATAACATATGTTAAGAAGGCGTTCAATTAACAAGACTAATACAGGCAGGATGAATTTCGAAGAAAACTGATGTGGGGACTGCTAAGTATATACATATCTTTTTCAAATTTGGCTATTTGGGTCTATACATTTCCTATTATAATTGTAACAAAAGAAAGGTGAACAAGATCAAAGTAAGGAACAGACACAATAACAGAAAAAACAAAAAAATAACCTTTAAAAAAAGCTTACCAATGTCTGTAATAAAGTCATAATTTAATTTGAGTGTCATATTTTGAAGGTAAACACTCAGCTTCCGGTATTTCTCCCGTCCGAGGGAGTGTCGCGGACGCACCACTCAGAAGCTCTTTGGTTCGCTCGATTCTTCTCACGGGGGCTAGACTCGGGGGCGGTGCATTGGTTAGCATTTCCCACTATTCCTTTATTAGGTTACACTTTGTGGGGTTAGGGAAAGGAGAGAATTCCTCATTACTAAAGATATGTAATTACTAAAAGTGCTGTATGAAACTAAACTGGACGTTCATTGTCATCAAGTAGACAAGAAAACATCAAGTTGACCTATGGATAGAGATAGACAGACAGACAGACAGATAGACAGATAGACAGATAGACGGCAGCTTCATTATTTTAAAGCTTAATTTCCTTGTTTATTGGCCCTTGTGATATCTGAGGCCAGGCTGGAAAAAGGAGCCCAGTTTAGACAGGTCTCGTGGGAATATTAGGGGACGGTTCAAAGTCTCCCTCCCTCCCTCCCTCTCTCTCCCTGATATCTGTCCGCAGTCAGAAGCATCTGGAATCTGTGCGAAAGGGGCTACTTTTTATCATATTATGTTCGCATTTTACATTTAAAACGGTGCTTTTGACACTATTTCAGTTTTTAGATGACTTCCTATTGCTGAAAGATCCTCGGAGGGATTAACACTTTTTTTCTCACTGGAGGAAACTCAACTGGAGAAATACTTGGAATATACTTGGGGAATGTTGCACCACTAAGGAAAACCTACTTTTTTCTGCATAAACGTCCAAGAATAAACAACCAGCAGTGTCTGTGGGATCATTATGGGAATATTGGAGTGATTTTCCTCGGTGTGGAGGGGGGGTTGTTGCAGGACTGTTATTCCCCCACATAGAGCAGATCTGATCCGGGGTGCAGAGGGGGTTTAAATGCGGCTGATTGGAGACCTTTCACCGGGAAACATGAACAGCAGCGGCGGGTCTGGAAACTTTCTGCTGGTTCCCATCCCGGAGTATCCCCTGCTGGACTGCGTGCCCAACAGGACCGCGAAGATCGTGGTGCTGGGGGCCAGCAACGTCGGGAAAACCGGTATGCATGTGTGTATGGAAGAACTGGGGAAAGAAAAAAACAACATTTAAGAGAATTATGAGTTTTTCCAAGCATTTAATGCAACTGTAATTCAGCTGTTTCCTTATAGGGATTACATATGCATGCATGGGTTTCATGTCGCTTCATAATAACACATGATAATAACCATAAGTTTAACCTCTTAACATGCAGCGTGTTATTGTTAGGAATGTCTCTGTGATATAGTTGTCTAAAAGAGGAGGAATATAAAAGGAAAAATCGATATTTTTAAATAAATACCAACCCTGAACGACAGGGGGCGAGATGTTGCATTCTGTGTAGCCTTTTAGGGTTTTCAAATATACTTTAATTTGTGTGGTGAAAGAAAGTATTCAATAACAATATAAAAAGACCCACAACTAAAAGCCCTGCATGCATACTGGTACTGTAATTAAATAACAAGAGATGTACTTAAATGATCATGTGTTTGCAGAATGAGATCTTTTAGAGTGTATAGTGTGGATTATTATTACTATCATTGATGGGTCAGCTGTATTTAAGTCACGTTGTGGAGTGCATTTAAACAATGTTACACCTTTAACACATTATACTTTAAAAGTTGATCATATGTCTGGTATGTTCACTGAAATACAAGTTGTGAAGTACAAATATACCTCAAATAATTTACCTTAAACACTATAAAAGTACAACAGAAGTAATTGTAGTTGCACCAAAGTTTTACGGTCAGTATGTTGTCATAATGATGTCATAATGATGTCATTAGGGTTAAGTCGGCCTAGGCTCAGAGAGTAAACATTTGATAGCAGAAAGTCTGCATTTCAATCTGGAGGTGGAGAGTTATTAAGAGTTAGCAGGCAGAGAAGGGTTTACTAAAAGAGAGTACCAAGTTGCATTATGGGAAATGTAGGATTCAGGGTTTTTTTCAAAGATCTTGACCCATATGGATTAAAAAGGTAAACATATCTCGGCCACTGTCTCATGTGATTCCCACTATTTTATGAAAATGGGAATCTTTACTGTGTAAAATTCACTAATGGGAATCAAAACCTTCTAAAATGAAACCGGCCTCACAAAAGGAGTCAGAAAACGTCGTCCAAAATCCCCAAAAAACAAGAGATGCATGAGACAATCATTTACCAGGACACAGATGACGCATGAGGGATTACAACATCACATTCAGAGTATTGGTGAATCAGTTTCTTGCTTCAGACTTTGGGCTTTCTGTTTGTTTAAATCATCTCTCTGCTACAAATGTCCATCAAATATGTGTCACAGAAAAGGGAAATTCCTGCAACACCTGCCAACGTTTAAAGGCCCCATGTCATGCTTTTCTGGTTATTGCCCGTCCCCTTGTGTGTTATGAAGGTTTTTCTGCATGTAAACGGTCTGCAGAGTCACAAACCCTCAAAGTACACCCTGTAGCGAGTAAAACTCTAACACAGAAAAGACCTGTCTATGCTGCCCCAGAACGCCTCGTTGGACATTTCTCTTTTTCCATTGTTTACTTATTGGGTATAGTGACGTATTTCGGGTATAGTGACGTAACGTAACGGCTCCGCAGATTGGTCCAAATGGATCGTTACGTTTGGACCAATCCGCGGACTTCCTCACACACACACACTCGGCGGGACGTTGCGAGGCTCGCTGCTGCGAGGAGCGGGACACTGTGAGCTGGCTCACTGGTGTGGGGTCGGCGAGACACCGCGGAACTCAGCCTGGGCACACACACAAACTCCCAGCCAGGCTGCGGGTGTGTGTGTGTTTCGCGGTGTCTCGCTGTCTCGGGCTCACAGGGAGGGGGGGGGGGCAGGAGCTCCAACAAGCCGTTTAGGACAGAGAGTGAATACACATGCTATACAGAGATGCTGTATGAGAAACCAATGTGAGTTTGGAAAATTGCACAATACAAATGTATTTTAGTAGACCTCAGCAATGGAATTATGATCAGTAGAAATGGCCGTGACATGGGACCTTTAAGTGTTATAAAGGTCAGCAGGTTGTCGTAGGGTCGTGCATTTTCCATATCTGTCTTTTTATTCCATGTCCATGACGTTTGGATGGCACATTTTAGAAAATCTCCTTACGTTTTCTTGTTTCTTTCCAGCTCTGATTGTCAGGTTTCTCACCAAGAGGTTCATCGGGGATTATGAAGCAAACACTGGTAAGTTTCCACACATCTGTCTGCAATAAAACGAGCATCATTTGTCACAATAAGCGGCAGAAACTAATCCTCCTGCTCTCTGGAAAACCCCCACCTATTGATCCTTTCATTCATCCGTCTCTTTTGCTCTCTGCAGGAGCGCTCTACTCCAGAAAGGTCACCCTGGATGGAGAGGAAGTGTCGCTTCAGATCCAGGACACTCCCTGTGTGGCGCTGCAGGTCACACACTCATTCAAATACAGCGTGTGCATCAAAACAAATACATGTTTATGAAGATTTTATGGGCTTTTTTAGTGATGGAAACACATTTGTCACAAGAAAAGGTCACTAAACGTATCACCTGTTTCCGGGATATACCTACAATGCACCTTATGAAAGTAATATTTCCCGGAAGAGTAGTTTTTCTCCTCATAGAAGATGTTCATACAGGCCTTATACCTTCTTACACTGTTGAAGTGGTTGAAAACGTATTTAGATTTAAGTAAAAGTACTAATACCAGAGTCTAAACATACTCCTTTACAAGTATAAGTCCTGATTTCAACCTATTTCTTAAGTTAAAGAACAGAAGTATTATCAAAAGTAAAAGTATTCATTGTGCAGAATGGCTCAAACGTGTTAACTTATAGTATATTATTCTATTTTTATCATCAGAAAAGACCTATACGAGTTTTTAATGTTGTAATTTGTCCATGTGGGGCAGGTTTTTGATAGTACTGAATACATTTGTGGTACATATTTATAGTCATATAAACACAGGTTTAAGTAAAAGTACTAATACCACAGTTTAAAGTATAATTCCTGAGTCAAACAGAAGTATAATGAGCTACGTGTACTCAAGTATCAAAAGTAAAAGTACTCATTGTGCAGAAAGGCTCTCCTAAAAGTGTTATCTTATTATAGGATAGTATATTATCCTATATAAGAGTTTTTAATGTTGTAATTTGTCCATGTTTGGCAGGTTTTTGATAGTACTGAATACATTTGTGGTAAATATTGATAGTATATCATATAAAACAACATTTTATGTATGTAAAAAGTAACTACCAGTGTCAAATATAGGAAGTGGAATAGAAGTACATGGTAGCAGAAGATATAAATACTCAAGTGAAGTACAAGTACCTGAAAATCATACTTAATCACTTGAGTAAATGTACTTAGTTACAGTCCACCACTGCACTGTTGGCGTCCAATATGAATCAGAAAAGCTACAAAATAAACCAGGTGGTATTTGCTGAAGTAAGCTTTTCTGTCAAACTATTATTGAGAGTTAAAATTCATTGCATTCTTCGTTTGTTTTGGCTAGCAAAAATATTTCTCTTACTAGCTCTGTAAGTATTTGTATTGCACCATCTACGGTTGATTCATCCAAATCCAACATCTGCCACACCAGCTGTCTGTGCTAACACTGCTGAGTCACTTGTTGATGCCAATAAGGCACAAACATTCCCCCAAAATGCCCATATTTCATGTAAAATATTTTAGTTTTGAGTTATTGGTTGACTCAACAATATAAACTAAGCTTAAGTTTCTATTTACAGTGAAATATATATGTCTAAATATGCTTATATCTTGAATTGAGTTGAGTTAAAAGGTTCCAAAAGTCGAGGTCTTTCTTCGATGCCATTGCCTGAAGATGAACTCATCAAAAGATGTTAGGAGAACTCTTCATTTTATCATAAAAGCCATTTGAGGAATGCATTTGAAGCAATAGGAAGTGGACCATATCCTGGAGGATAATTGGTGCAACGTGCCACTCCGGCGGTCTGTTTACAAAACCTCAGAGCCGCTCATTTCCTCCCTCCATTTGGGGAGATAAGGGAGGGTGAGGAAGTCTCTCCACTTCCAGAGATTAGACCGGAATAATTGGTGTGGAGGCAAAGAGGTGGAGAAGTTACTGAGGATCTGGAAGGTTGTTGAGATTTCTTTAAGTGTCAATAAAGTAAGGTTAATCCAGCACTAAAGGGGCACATTATCCCAAAAAACGGACTCATCTTCACCTCATGATAACAGAAAATGTTTTTCTCGGTAATAATGAGTGAAAGGAACGGCCCATCCTGAGCTGAGGACTGGGTGGTCTGGAGGGTCTGGAGTCAAAATGTCAAACCAGCTGCTGTGTGTCCATAAACACACATTTGTCAGTAAAGTCTGAAAACCACCTGTTAACTCACTTTAAAGGGAACTCTGGAATGTTCCACCTGGACACAAGAGATTTATGGTGACATACATTTTTGACTTTTGGTCTAGTGTCCATCCAGCTAAATATAAACATAATTAGACAAAACTGGCACTTTCCACCAAGAATTCAGAACACATGTTTCCCCTTCAAACAAGACTTTTTGAAAAAAACACATCAGATCAAGCTAAAGGGTACAGAAAACTAAATATATTTTCTCTGTAAGGTCCTTTTTCACACACTTAAAATAACAATTTCACCCGCTAAATGGCAAAAACCAGCAGCTTTTAATGAGACTTTTCCCCTTATCTTTGTGTTTTTAAGAGATTAATGGTGACATACATTTTTGAGTTTGTTTCAGCGTCCATCCAGCTAAATATTCAGACATAATTAGACAAAACCGGCACTTTCCACCAAGACTTTTAGAACAATTTCTCCCCTTGAAACAAGACTTGTGTTCAGATCAAGCTAAAGGGTACAGAAAAAGGTACTTTCCTATCTTTTTTCACACACTTAAACCAACAATTTGAACCGCTAAATGGCAAAAACCAGCAGCTTTTAATGAGGACATACACTGACGGTGCAGAATTAGGATTAAAATGCAGCCATTTCTGCGACTGCTGGAACCAATTTCAAGAATTGTTGTCCCCTTTTGTCACTTAGTCCCTTAACATGGGGATGAAAAGGGTCTAAGTTGGATAATATGGACGTTCAAGCTGCTTGGGTTGATGCATTTCGATGAATTTGGATAGTTGTGCACACTTCAGCAGTCTTTTTTAAATACAGGCCACTAAAAAAGTAGTTGTTTGAGGTTGGGAAAAGATCGTTTAGTGGTGTAATGTCTGGAGGAGACACTATGCTTATACTCTGCCAGTTAAACAGTGATTGATTGTTTGTGCTGAGCTCAGTCCGCTTTAGCTCAGAGGAATGAGGAAGTGTTTAAAAACAGGAAGTCAGTGTCCATCCCCAAGAGTAGTTTTTAAATCTTTTTCATTTCTTCAGGATGATGCTGAAGGCCTTTACTGTCAGGAGCAGATCAACAGGTACGATTCATTACTATAAACATTCAATAAACAACTAAATTAAGTGACTTCTGTGATAAATGTACAATACCTGTACTTTTTAAAGAACATCCATAAAGATTCATCTGTACATTTACTTGTATATTGACTCTTCTTGCACTATTGCTATTTTATTTGTATTTACTTGCACGTCTCAAAACATTCTCTTGCACTATTTTATCTGTTTTATTTGTTCTATGTCCTATATAACTTAACACAAAAAGTAAGGCAATTTGTGTTTATGATTTCTATGTTGTAACAATGCTTCTTGGCAATAAATCTTATACCGTAGGAAAGCCTGTTTTCTTACCTTTCCAATGGTACCACATTTGTGAAGAACAAGCATTTGATGGATGAGCAGCAGAGCTGAGTATGTGGGGTGCGCCCATGAAACATGTGAATCAAATCTCCTCTGCCAATGCCAAACAGCTTTTTGTTGCTGCTTCTGTTGTTTGGTGTTGTTTGGTGGATTGGATGATTGAAGTCTGATAAATACAGACATATTGGCAACAATTGGAAAGGTAAGAAAACAGGCTTTCCAACGGTATAAGATTTATTGTCAAAAAGCATTGTTACAACATAGTCATCTACCAAACAAATTGCCTTACTTGTTGTGTTAAAGTGGACCTATCATGCTATATTTGAATAATATAGTGTAGGACCATACCTATATAAGGCATATTTATACTTTTTTTTTTCAAAATAACAAACAGATCATGCATTTTAGCCATGCCTCATTTCGCTCAATTTGAAAAATGTTAGCTCTGTTTTTGCAAGGGCTGATTCTGTAAGAACAGCACCACCTACAGGCCTGGCATATGTACTACAGCGTCTCCAGCGCTTTCGAACGGCAATGGCCGTGGCTGTCTCCTCCTGATTGGTGGAGTTGGCCCAATAGCCGTAGCGCCACCGTCCTGACGTCAGGACAGTGTTCAAATCTGGATCAGTTTTTATCAGATCCGTTGCAGCCCCTTTTTTAGAGATTTGGGTATGGAGGAAAATAGAGAGGGTTGTGTTTTCTGACACTTGGTGAGTTCCCTGGAACACCGGGGACACATATTCATGTATAAAAGACGTACAAAAGTGCATTTTGCATGATAGGTCCCCTTTAAGTTGATATTCATGTTACGTGTTAGAGGAGCCTGTGACTTCAGTCTTTCTTTGCCATATCTACACTGTAATGTGCTAATGACAATAAAGCCTTGCATTGAAATTCCAGGTCTATTTACTGGGCGGATGGATACGTGCTGGTGTTCTCCATCACGGATCACAACAGCTACCGCACCATTCAGCCGCTTTACCAACACGTCAGACGCATACACCCCTCTGGAAATATCCCCGTTATACTGGTCAGTGCACCTGCCAAAAAGCATGTAAAAGAATGCAAAATATATCTAAAATGTTGGTGAACTTGTACAGGAAGTCTGTTTATTGTTGCTGTTTGGATTTACTGCTGGTAGACAGTTGCTTCACTCAGGTCTTAAACTGATAATAAGTGTTACCTCCTGACCCTAATCCCCTCTATCTGCTCTGTCCTGTAATCTGTAATCAGGTTGGAAACAAGAGCGATCTACTCAGAGCCAGACAAGTGCCGGCAGACGAAGGCGAGACGTTAGCTTCTTCGCTAGGTGGGAACAAATAATGTTTTATGTACTTTGCCTCTTTTTGTTTTTATGATATGTGGTCACTCTTCTCTCATCTTTTCTCATTCCTCTAGTAGTGGTTTTCCCAAAGACATCACACCATTTCTAATGTGTTAAACGCAGTATCATATTTACACAGATAACCTTTAGTAAAAGTATTTTTGGTACAGTTACAAGTTATGCAAAATCTTCATACACTTTTGAAGAGTTTCTTATGCGAGTGATGGTATTGCATTACATTACATTACATTACATTACATTACATTACATTGCATTACATTACATTACATTACATTACATTACATTGCATTACATTACATTACATTACATTACATTACATTACATTGCATTACATTGCATTACATTTAGCTGAGGCTTGTATCCAAAGCGACTTACAATAAGTGCATTCGACCAACAAGATACAAACTAGAAGAAAACAGAATCATATAAGTACATCAGGTTTCATGGAGCCGAAACATTTCAAGTGCTACTCAACTAGCTTTAGATAAGCCGGTCCTTTGTTAGTTTATAAGTGCTTTGTTAGTATTGTTATTGCTCGAAGTGGAGTTGAAAGAGATGAGTTTTCAGTCTGCGCCGGAAGATGTGTAGGCTTTCTGCTGTCCTGATGTCAATGGGGAGCTCATTCCACCATGTTGGAGCCAGGATAGCAAACCAACATGTTTTTGCTGATGGGAACTTGGTATCAAAACTAAGTACATTTTTTTCAATTACTGTGTTTAAGTACTTTGACTTTATTATTTTACTTTAATGCTACATTATACTACTATCTTTTTTAGAAAAAGAGATCTCTATGTACATCGTATGACTTTAAATTATTTGAGGGATGTATTAAATCCAGTTGACTAATGGATAAGGATAATCTAAATTGAACAATCTATACAATTCCTTTTGCATTACGAGCCATTTTGCGTTTGATATTTTGAGTACACGTTGCTGGTGGTGATACTCAAAAGACAAAATCACCTAAAGCAACCAATTTGTAGAAAAGTAATTCAAAAAGCAAGGACAAACTTACAGTGGGACACACACACACACACACACACACACACACACACACACACACACACACACACACCTCTATACATGTGAACTATATCCTGCATGCTGCCTAATGAAGCAGGAATGTTATCTGAGATAAACTCTGCTCACAGGAGGAGTTTACTTCGAGGCGTCGGCGAGAGAAAACCACGAGGGAGTTCACGCTGCCTTCCTGCATCTCTGTCAGGAGGTGAGAACTTTTTACTGTCGTTTATTAGTCAGCTTTAAAGAGTCCTCTCCTGCTGATGTTCAGGTGTATATCAGTATGTAGTGTCTCTACTTTAAAGAGTCCTCTCCTGCTGATGTTCAGGTGTATATCAGTATGTAGTGTCTCTACTTTAAAGAGTCCTCTCCTGCTGATGTTCAGGTGTATATCAGTATGTAGTGTCTCTACTTTAAAGAGTCCTCTCCTGCTGATGTTCAGGTGTATATCAGTATGTAGTGTCTCTACTTTAAAGAGTCCTCTCCTGCTGATGTTCAGGTGTATATCAGTATGTAGTGTATCTACTTTAAAGAGTCCTCTCCTGCTGATGTTCAGGTGTATATCAGTATGTAGTGTCTCTACTTTAAAGAGTCCTCTCCTGCTGATGTTCAGGTGTATATCAGTATGTAGTGTCTCTACTTTAAAGAGTCCTCTCCTGCTGATGTTCAGGTGTATATCAGTATGTAGTGTCTCTACTTTAAAGAGTCCTCTCCTGCTGATGTTCAGGTGTATATCAGTATGTAGTGTCTCTACTTTAAAGAGTCCTCTCCTGCTGATGTTCAGGTGTATATCAGTATGTAGTGTCTCTACTTTAAAGAGTCCTCTCCTGCTGATGTTCAGGTGTATATCAGTATGTAGTGTCTCTACTTTAAAGAGTCCTCTCCTGCTGATGTTCAGGTGTATATCAGTATGTAGTGTCTCTGCTGTGACATGTCTCCATGCTTTAACGTTCAAAAAGCTCTTTATTTTTCTCATCTGATTGGTTAGCTGACCGGCTCTGTTGTGATTGGTCAACGGCTTAGAGATGTCCCGCCCCTTAGCCCATCATGTACAATGTGTTGGTGTTTACATGCACTAAAACCTATAGAACACACTACATAGAAGAGAAAACCCCAAACAGCATAACAGGGCCTCTTTAAGGTTAAGAAAGGACAGCTTTATTTGGGTCTGCAGAAATCTTTTTTCACTTTCACTTTAAAGTCACTGAACTTTAGGGAATTTTCCCTTCCTGTGGGAATTATGATTACAGACATTTTCCCACTGATGCCCAGTGTCACCAGAAAATGCTATGTTTGTTATGTTTGGGTCAGAAAGCTGAAATGAGTCTGTGCGGTATATTTGTTTTTCTGATACAAGTCTCATTACATGCAACTGTGTTTGGTCTCTTTCCTTTTCTGGTGTGCAGGTTCTCAAACCAAGCTCAACTGATTAGGTGCTTTAAAGCTGCAACAATCAATCATTGTTAAATTAACATATATATTCAGTTCTACTTATTAGCATCTTGTCACTCAGTGTTTAGTTTTTTCGGCTCTGGTTTCCAACGGCTGCCTGCAAGAAAAAAGTCCAATATGCTAACTAAATGCTACCCTACTAGCATTAAACATAGGCACATACAAGGCTTGTGAACACAATGGAGCAACTAAAGAGACAGATATTCTCTGGAAGAGATGGAGGAGACCAACAATGCAGCTAAAAGGAGATTTTAAATTGGAGATATGTTCATTTGGTGGCATAACAATGACTCAAAATGAATGAAAATGTTGGTTATTGGTTGTTTTTGTTAGAAATGTTGTGTGATGAGTCTAAAAAAGGATTAAATGCAGCTTTAAAATGTACTTTTTAACAATTGTTTCTCGAGTAGATTGAGTTGTATTGACAGTGGAGTTTACAAATGAAATAAGTACAAAAACATACAACATAATTTAAAATAAGAGTACGTTTTGAACTTCTTATGCATGTTGTTTCCAGGGTGTGAGAAAACTACACATACTATCATTGCTGTGTAGAGTCCAATAAACATCTGATGCAGCTTTAAAGTTGAGTTTTAATACAAACGAAGAAAAATAAGAAAGAAAACAGAAATTAAATAGATATTTAAAGGTGAAAAAGCAGGTTTGGAGCTGCTTATGCAAAATAAACAATATATTTTCTTCAAGTCACTGGTCTCTCTGTTTTCTAGGTGATTCGAGGAGGGGGTAACGGTGAGAAACGAAGAGGAGGCCTTCATCTAGCCAGACCTAAATCTCCCAACATGCAGGAGCTGAAGAGGAGGTTCAGGCAGGTCCTCTCCTCCAAAGTCAAATCATCATCCTCCGCCCTCTGATCGAACAGAAACATCACGAAGATAAGAGCTTCTATGGAAATACAAAGACCTCCGTTTGAGAACTGAAGAGCCTCTGTGGTGATCGAAGCGTTTTAAAGAGTCCTCGTGAGAGAGATGAAGACACAGCTTTCTGCAGACTCAGCTGCTCTCTGTGTTTTGGACAAAGGGTCAACGGGACCTTCTGATGCAGCTCAGAGGGAACCGACTGATACAAAAACCGATGTATTGTGTCAGAAACTTTACCAACAAAGGACAGTGAGTGTGTCAGAAATACGGGTTTACTGCAAACTGACCCATGCCTCCGTTTTCTTGAGGCTGAAAAATCACTCTTAATACATCAACGGTAAAGAATTAACGAGACAATTAAAAGGACAGAACACGTTGTTTGTTATGTCCTGCTTGTAATTGACGTTTTTGCAAATAGACACGTTTTTTAATTGGGTTGAAAGTTGTTCATTCATGTGAGAACAATGGCAGATTTCAACTTGGCTGATACCAAATAAATGCACAGCGAGTCTCCATCTTCTCTCTTGCTGACTTGGTAAGAAAATAGTCTGAACCAAAACAGGAAACGACCCCAAATCGAACTCGTTCAAGGCTCTTCCCCCGAGAAAAATGCTGCCTTTTGACAGCCGGAAGGGAAGCCTCTAGTAACAAAACAAAGCAAGGACAAGTGGAAGTGAGCTGTACTATTTTTAAATTGGGTTTTAATAAAGTGACCAGAATCTTTTTTTATATTTCGTCTTCATTTTCATTCAAAATGTGCTTAAATCAGGACTTTCTATGATGCCTATTGTTTTATTTTATTTGTGTCACCCATGCACACACCAGCAAGAAGAGGGGTTTTTTATTCACATAATTAGAGTTACTACCTTCCATTTTCACCATTTATTTGTGTGTTTTATCTGGTATGATTATGAACACCAGAGACCATTAAAGTTCTCCTAAATGAACAGAAGCTCTGGTTAAATGGGTTTTAAATCCCTTCATTCAAATTCTCCATCACATAACATACTTTTGAAGCCATGTCACAATGAGACTCATTTACTAGCCTTACATTGCCTGTAATTGTGAAAATGTTTCCACTTAATCTCAGCACAAATAATGAAACTAAGGTGTAAAAGCAGCTTTAATGGCTCTCAGACTGAGGGGTATGTCATTTCAATTGTTTAATGTGTGGAAAATGTTAGTATTTTGTGGAGTTAATGTTGATCCAGAGGTCTTTTTCCCAACAATAATGATTTTGTGGGCGAGTCACAGCTCCAAGAGATGATGGACTTGCAGGAAAGAAAGTAACCAGTAAACCCAACATATACTGGTTTATAATCATGGGTCAACATCTAAAAACGTGTGTGTGTGTGTGTGTGTGTGTGTGTGTGTGTGTTTTTTCTGCTGTTCTCATGACCTCTCCTCTCAGTGACCCACTCAAAAATTCCCAGTAAAGACAAAATTCCTCGGCATCTGGCATTTGTTTCTCGGTCACTGAACCGCCACTCTAACCCTTTTTAAAACACACACACACACACACACACACACACACACACACACACACACACACACACACACACACACACACACACACACACACACACACACACACACACGCACACACACTAAATATTGTGTGCTGACCCTGACCCGTGACCTTTGTGACCCTTTGACCTTTAAAAGCAGCAGGGCTCCATCAAAGGTCTGGAAAAAGATGGGAGATAAAAACTCGGCTCGCTGTGTGACGAAAATTGAGATTTTTCCCACAATTTCCAGCTACTTTAGGTCTAATTTCCTCTTGTGTTTTCTTTCAAACTTCCCACACATGTCGCTCCTAAAGACCTGCTTCCTGTGTGACGCTGGATAAACTGCACTCTCTGATGCATGAATGCTGCTTTTCCTCCCCTTTTTTTCATTGAAAAGCAGCCAGAAATCTGGACGTTTATTGTCAGTTGTGTTTTATTGAGAGTTAATGTGACATTTATAAGGCCAGATTTAGAAAATGAACTCCACTAAATGTTCCCTTTTTTGGTTAGAAGGAGCGCACAAGGGAACTTCTGGATTAAGGTTTGAAAGTACGTTGATTTAAATGGCATTGACGTTGCTCCATAATGTCAAATCCTGCAGCATATTGTTATTTAATAATATATGTCATGCAGTCGAGACATGACATTATGCACAGATAAAAAAAAAGGCTAAAAACATCTAATAATGAGAAAGAAATTCACTGCAAGTCAGGAAGGTATTACGCTTTTTGACTTATCAGGTCAAATGTCAGACCAAAAGGGAAACGTCAGAACTTAAAATGACACAAAATAGTGCTCAATTTTGCTTATTCATGCACATGGGAAGTGTAGTTCACAACATAGCACGCTTCACAGGTAAAACTGAGGAAAAGTCAATAAAAAAAGCAATCCGTAAATCAGAAAAAAACACTATTAAGTCAATGTTTTCTAATCAAAATGTACATTTAGTGCTCCCTGTCCTTTTTAAAGACAAAAATGTGTAACCGGTGTGACTGCAAGACTACACTAGGATAAGTAGATAAATATAACATTTTATAAAACGGACAAGTCAAATCAAGCAATCTGATTGGTCCTTACCCGTGATATAATGAGCGTATATCACGGGTAGAATTGTAGTTACTTTTCACAACAAGTAAGTATCCCTCCGCGTCTGAGAAACAGCTACAACCGTTGCAGCTGTTACATTACGTCCGTTACGAAACTAACTAACAAACAAAGCTTAAGATGGAAGCATTTAAGGTTAACTTCGACCTCCGGGGTGGCCTTACTATGGAGGAGTGGATTGAGCAGTGCCTATCTCCAGAGAGCACCTAAGTGACGACATGCAGAGCGACGTGAAGAGCAGGTAGACCAACTGGAAAAGTACCCCCATTCAAAAGCTTTCTGATGCGGGTCTTGAAACAAAGCAGAGAAATGATGACCGTTAGTGGCCACAGGTGCGAAAGCTCTCTCCAGAACTACTTGCTTAAATATATCATAATATATGAACCAAGGAGTAATATCTCAGCTTGCAGTTCAAAGGATTCTCTCATCTGTTATCCAGACGCCTCTTCTTTAACGTGTGCTTCAGTAAACCTTCCCTTTGTATAAAAGACGACACCTTTAAAAACAAAACAGACGAGGACATGTTTTAACAAGCTAATGATGGAGCAGAGGAGGTCATCTTATCAACAGAGAACCACCCTGAGCAATGTGTGGAGGACAGAAACCAGCTGTGTGTGTGTGTGTGTGTGTGTGTGTGTGTGTGTGTGTGTGTGTGTGTGTGTGTGTGTGTGTGTGTGTGTGTGTGTGTGTGTGTGTGTGTGTGTGTGTGTGTGTGTGTGTGTGTGTGTGTGTGTGTGTGTGTGTGTGTGTGTGTGTGTGTGTGTGTGTGTGTGTGTTGTGTGTGCTTCAGTCTTTTATCTGTAGGAGGCAACAGGAAGTTAACATCTCGTCTGGGATTAAGTCAAGACCTTTGAAACTGGAGAGAGACACAAAAGGTTTCAAGAAGAATTAGGACTTTACGATGTAAAACAAAACGTAAAATAAATGTAACAGAAGACAGAGAATGAATGTCAACTGTCTCCGTGTTGAAGTGTTGACAGAAAAGTGTGTGTGACAGTCAGACAGATGAGAGATTATCAGTGTGTGTCCAGACGTAAAACAAATGTCTGCTTTCAGCTCAAGACCAGATACTAAACGCTGCTGTTAACGGACAACGCTGCGTATTGATGATAAAAATCAAATATATTAGGGCTTGATGGTTCGAATCTGCAAAGAAAACACTTTTTATGACATTGAAAGGGACATTAAGAGCTCCAGAAACATGTTGTTTTCATGACTGTACATTGCACATATTGTCTATCCCTTCATACGGTGAACTTTTGCACATTTCTTGCTCAATATTTCACACATTTAAGCTACAAACTGGTCAACTTGTTCATTTAAAAGCAGATATAAGACTATTTTATACGTATTTTTATTTAATTATTTCTACCTTGTTTGACATATTTCATTGATTCTCTCACCTAAACAATATGTATGTTTCTTGACACGGCTTTTATTTTGTATTTTCTCCTCTCGTGTGTATTGTAAAGCACCAAACAGCAGGACAAATTGCTCCAAAACCAACTCTGATGCCTAACCAAAAACAACAATTTAAATATACCCAAGAAGAGCCCAACTAAATACAGCCTGGTTCACAAGCTAGCTGGGAAACACAACTAAATATGGGCCGAAAAATATTTCCCTTAAACTGCACACAGAGCCATTAATAGTGCTTAAATACAAAGTGACATTACATACCGAGGATGCAAGGGACGTGTGCAGATGTTGATGAGTCAGGTGATTCCCTGTGACAGATAAAGAGGCCACTAGAGGGCATTCATGTTAGTAGAGCAGCGGTTCCGAACCTGTGGGCCGCGGCCCCCTAGTGGTCTGCAAAGGCATCGCAAGTGGGCCGCCAATTTTTTTTTTTTTTTGTACAGGCTGAAGACACAAACATGGACATAACAATAACATAATAGGAGATGACATTCCCATCTCAGACAATAACTAAACAAAAACAGAAGAAATAAAGATAGGTAGGATCACTTCAACATTTCACAAACAAAAATAGGTTGACAATCAAACACCACCAAAAACACAACATGGCAAGCATATGTATTGTTCCTTTCATCCCACTCTTCGGTAGAGCTCATTATTTCCCATGTCATGGCGTGTTGAGCCACCCTTTGATTTTATTGTGGCAATAATGTTTTCCAAAAGAAATTGTATTTTTAATCTACTCTTCAAACACCTTAAATTAAGATTACTCCTTGATTGACTTTTAAAAATATGTATATTAGCCAGAAGAATAGTTATATTTATTAACTGTGTGCGTCTTGTGTCTTCATCTAAAAGCCCAAATAAAATATTAAAGGGTGTAAATGTAAATTCAATATTTGCCGGCAATTCATTTGCAAAACATTATGATTTGTGTGAAAACATTTTCATTATTAAGATTTTCTTTATTTGAACCTCTTTTCCTTTCTCTTTCTCGATCCTCCTTAGCAACGGTTTTTACAGTCCTCGACAGCGGTCTGTTCTACTGGATTGACAACGTGTCACATGATCTGAATTGACCAATCAGAACTTTGTTTAGCCTCCGTATTGTTTATGGTTGAATGTGGGCTGCGAAAACATTTTTGATTCTTACTGTAAGTGGGCCCTGAGTCGAAAAAGGTTGGGAACCGCTGTAGGCTTTAGTAGAGGATTTAAAAATAGCAAACAAATTAGAAGCTCTAAGTTCAAGTCTTTCAAAAAGATTTCAAAGAACCACTGACACATCTAGCAGTATGGAAAACACTGTTTAACCCACTTTAAGTCAATTTAAATGACTTCAGTCCATGTGAGAACTCAATTCAAAAGTGTAGTTTCTTAAGACTTTACAATGGCAGAAAGGACATTTAAAGCCAGGTTTTTTTAATATTTAATTCAGCAATCAGAGGCTTGAATTACTTCCTATTGTGTTGCATTTAGCTTATAAAGACTTCCTCAACTCTATAAGACAAAAACAACCCATGTGACTTCTTTACAATCCCCCAAATGTACTTGGTAAAGTTTGTTTGGTCAGGATTATGGTCAAAAAACGAATTGTTGACGTGGGAATTTCACCAGGAAGTCCCTATATTATGTGTTCTGTAGCCATTATCTTTATCAGATGACAATTGCAGGTTTTCATAGGATAAATAAGAGGTATGCTC